TTCCTCAGGTTCAGTGGCTCAGGACACAGTTTCCCTCCTTGGATATAGAAGTGGATGGAGGAGTGGGGCCTGACACCATCCATAAGTGTGCAGAGGTAAGAGGTTGCAGCAGAGCAGCATTCTCAGTCACTGTGCTGAGACACTTATCAACTCCCAGAAAATAAAGCTTAGGAGAAATTTTTAGTTTTCAGAGGGAGCCGTAAAACACATGTAATATGAAAATCTTTTTTAGGTCTAATTTTGTGCCTTTTTTAAAATAGTGCCTATTGAAGCCTCCCCTAAGCTAAAGAAGTTTGTTTCTTTTATGTTGACGTAAAAAGGGGCAATGTGATGAAGAAATTTGGGGAAGAGCTGTGTTTTCTGAACTTGATTTGGGGTTGCAGTTAGGAGCACATCACCTGTGTCCCAGCTGTTTGCACAGAATTCCCCAGTGCAGCGTTTGCAGGCAGGCTGTGTTCCGTGTGACTGAGCAGTGTTTGCTGTCCCCCAGGCAGGTGCCAATATGATTGTGTCTGGCAGCGCTATCATGAAGAGCGCAGACCCCAGGTCTGTGATCAACCTGCTCAGGAACGTGTGCTCAGAAGCAGCCCAGAAGCGCAGCCTGGATCGATGAGACCTGCCCAAGCCGTGTTCCAAAGGCTCTGGCCGTGCAGGGGCTGCATGAACACCAACTACAGAAACTTCTTGCTGCTGAACAGAGGAACCATTCCTTCACTGCAATGAAGCAAGCAGCAGTGGGAAACATTCTGGCTGTCTTTCAGGGTTGGAAATGCAATGGTTTGAACCCGTCTCTTGATTTTGTGGAGGCTAATTTTGTGGCACAACCTCTAATGCTGGCTGGATTGAACTACAGTCAGTTTGTTGCTTGCTAGAAGAGTGTAGCATCACCACAAGAATATCTCTTGTGGAAGACTCTTAATCAAACTGCCTTCTGCTGTCTGTATTTTGTCATTTGATCTGTGCATTCCTACAAAACTTTTTCCACTACTGCATTAAACACCCTTTCCTTGGTGTGTTAAGTTCTTGAAGCTGACTGTCATAAATAAGTGGGTTCAGGAGTAACTTTAGGGAAAAGGCAGATTAAGAGGGCTAAAAAATCCCAGTGATGGTAGAAATGTTCCTGTCCTTTGCCTCTGTTGCATTGGAAGTACTTGGCCTATAGAAATCCAGCATCAGATAAGTCAGTGCAGCATCTTTACCAGATCACAAAGTGGGGAGTATCTCCTCACTTACCTTTCAAATAGCCAGTTAAGACAGCTGTGTCTGAAATTCCTGGAATTGATGGAATTTCTCAGAAGAATGTTGCTTTAATACTCCTCAGACAAGTAAAAACTTTTTCTTGCTGCACAATCTCCTTGGTTAGTACATGTGTCTGAGTAAATGATTAAGGTGGTAGCATACAGAAAGGGTAGCTGCTGAAGAGACATGTAGATTGAAATGCCTGGAGATGGGTCTGTAAAACAGCTTGTGGCACCAAACAGTCATCAGTCCTTCAGTTTGCTGTGTGCACAGGCCTGGCCTGTTTGGGCACATGAAAGGTGAACTACAGTGCAGTGGAGGAAGACTGAGCAAGCCATTTTTAGGCAGACCTGTCTCCCATGGCTCTAATTAGCATTGCTGGCTCTTAAATATTTCATGCTATTCTGTGTGGCATTTTCCCCTCTAAATTGCAATGCCAGAAGGGTTGCAGACGGTCTGCTGCCTTGAGGGGGCCAGGCCAGGAGGTTCAGCAGCTGCAGTTTCCACAGGGCCAGAGTCAGCTCTGATCTCTTTGCAGCAGCTGCTGAGGCAGTGCCAGGGCTGCTGCAAGCCCTGTGAGGTGCCCCACAGCAAGAGGCACCGCCCTTGGTGAGCAGCACGAGCTAGGGCTAGTTCAGACACTCTACAGGAGTATCTCAAATTGCTGAACTGCCACGTTTTTTTCTGTGTGGTTAATTGTGGTTCAGGTGAACAAAAGTTGCTTCCTGTTTCCACTTGCAACCCCATTTAGGAACTAGCACAAGAAAAATGGAGTTGTGTGGACCTACTGTACTGAGAGATGTTTCAGAAGAGGCTTGCCAAAGGCAAGCTTGGCCATGAAGGCTGTAATCCCAAGGGCCATTGGGTGTGTGTTAAGAGTAGCTTATCCATGCTTCTGGAAAGAACCAGTGTAGAGTTTAGTGTATGCATGGACAAACAGTCATGGCTCTGGTAGCTAAAATGTAGGCTGAAATGAAAATGCTAGTTCAGGATGTGCAGTCTGGCTTTTCATGCTGTTGAAAGCAGTAGGACAACAGCTGTAGTATACTGACCTCCTACAGCTGAGTGTAAGCTGGATTGAAAGGATAATCAAACTATTTTTGCTTTTTTTCCTAGTTAATTTCGGGGTGACATCCAAGTTGTGCTAGTTAATTGATGGTACTAGGCTTTGTGGAAGGTATATTCTCTCTTCATAGGTTGTAGCTATTTGGTAATTGTTTTAAGGATGGTAAGTTTGCACTTGCACTGACTCTTGGGTTAGGAGTCCCGTGGGAGAGATGTTACACTCACAAAGTAAAATTACTTAATTGCTTCTGTCTGAATCCCACTCAAGTGGGTTTATGCAGGTGACTCCTGCTGCAACAGCTTTTACACATCTAAGGTTAAATCTGTTAGTGACCATGTCCAAGAAATCACAGTGATGAATGATTCTTGTTCTTTAATGTCTAAGACTGTTCCAGTTTCTCACCTGTGTCCATTTACTGAAGTGATCACTCTGGGGCCTGTTTAGGCCTGTCTTCCTGTACTCAGTAACAAGCCTTTTGTCCCAGGACTGGAACTGGGTGCTGACATGAAAACCCAGAGAGCTGCTTGCATGGTCTCCCCAGGGCTGAATAAACCCCAGGCCCATGTGATGCTGCAATCCTCTGATAAGGATTCAGCAATAAGGGAGAGCACAGCCTGGTGTATTGAGGCATGTGGTGTGATCTGACAGCACAGGTCTGTCTGAACTGGAAAACAGGATGAAAACAACTTGGACAGAGCCAAGTCACGCTGGGCTTGCACATGTGCTGCACAGGGTGGTACAGCCCACAGCCCTGAGGGAGATAAAACACTGCAGGAGATGCACACAGAACTTAGTTTTAATAGGGTTTAAAAATTCTTATTTGTACTTACATGCCATTAAGATCCTGGATGCAGAGATGAAGCATTTTAAACCCTCATAGCAGCAGGAAGCAGAACAAAAGTGGTGTTAAAAAAAAAAAAAGCCTCAATTGAACATGGTAAATAAAGCACATGGAAAATGGCTTTGTGCAGCTGCAGACACCTACTTTCATGTGTGGGGGAGCCTTGCTGCATTGGGTTTTAAGTTGGTTTTCACAGTCACTCTCTTAATACCTTCAGCCACAGCAGTAGGAGCAGCACTAACAGCTGTTTTCACAGCTTAACAGCCAAAGAGAGGTTGGGTTTTGTCTGGGGTTTTGTTTTCTGTTTAAAACTTTGAAAAGGAATGAAAACAAGCAGGGGATTCTGCCCATTCTAAGGCTTCAAGGATGAGCCTGGCCCTGAGCCTGCTCCCACAACAGGTACAGCTTCCTCATGACACCAGCATCCATGCAAAAGTGACCTGCCTGGAGCTGGGAGCCCAGCTGTGCCAGGCCCTGGGCTGCAGGCAGTGGAGCAGCCTACCAGTGCTGATTGCAGCTGCTTGTAGTAGAGGGACAAAGGAGAGGACAGGCTGCTCCTGGAACCAGGCTGAGTTCAGCAAGTTGTTTAACCCTGTCCCAGCACTGAAAGGGGGCTGCAGAAAAACCAGGTGTCCCTGTCTGGAGCCAAGACACAGAGTGGAGACAGAGAAGGCAGGGCACAGGTCTGCAGCTTCCTGAGAACCACCTCGCTTGCCATGTGCACACAGCACTGCCCACCTGGCCCTGCCAGCGGGAGGGATGCAGGAGGTGGGCAGGTGATGGGGAAATGCAGCCTGTTCCTGGCACATACCCTGCTCGAGTGCTGGCAGAGCCCTGTGCAGCACCCATGGAACAGCCCTGTGCTGGCACTGTGGGAGGAGGAGCAGAACCACACTGTTCTCCAGCAGCCACAGTGTGCTGTCACAGGCCTGGCCAGCTGTGAGGCAGCTGCTGGAGAAGAGATTTCTGCAGTGAGTGGACTGGGATAATGACCAAATAGACATTTTGCTTCTGTCTTGGGCCTGCTCAGCCTTTCCCTAAATACCCTTTTTATTGCTGTCTGATGAAGCAATAGCAAGAACATAGAGGGGACACAGCTGATGGGGTTCCCCTTGCTCAGAGCACTACCTGCCTCTGCAGCCCCTGCAGTGGGCAAGGAGCCCAGCAGCTGCTTTAGCCCACACCAGGCTGACCCTGCAGCCACACGATGGTTTGGCACTGCAGCTGGAACCTGAACTGCAGTGCAGGGATGCTCTGCAGGTCCCCAGGCTAACCAGACTGGGATAACCCAGCTCCTCTGACACAGGGGGGTCCTTGGCCTCCTGTTTAACACCCTTCTGTTCCCACCCTCCAGTAAAGAAAAGGCCTCCTGTAACAGATTGGATTGTATTTCCTCTTCCTGGCAGCACTTTCAGGACATGGAAGGCAGCTGGCCTGGCTGGCTGGTTACTTTGTCTGTCCCCTCTCCTAAAGTGCAGCAGGTTCCTCCCTCTGCCCCAGGGATCAGACAACACAGGAAAGCTATACCTTACAACAAAGCTGGGTGAGAGCTGATCAGATCAGGTTCGTAAGAGTAGACAGGGGTATGGAAAAGACCTGCAAAACATCTGGGACCCTTTGAGAAAGGGTCCTTCTTCTGGAAGCAGATGCACATGCAGGGCAAGGGAGAGGGCAGCACACACCTCTGTACTGAGGCACTGAGGGGGCCCTTGGCCTCACAGTGTAAGTGCAGCATCAGTACCACAGCAAGCTGCAGTGGGTCAGCAGGCCAAGCAGAGCTCCATGCCAAGAGGAAGTATTGCTGCTACTTCTTCACTTCTAAAAAACCATCAAATTCAGACTATGTACAACATATATAGAAATAACTTTTAATTAAAAAACCAACCTTGCATCAAAGATTATTGTATCAGACATTGAGGCAAGATTCAAGTTTAAGACAAACCAGTGTTAAAAAAGTGTTTAAAAAAATAATCAGAATGTGCAATAAACTACAATGTAGCAATAGGATGTAGTGTTGAAACTTTACTGAACTGTTTTCATATGCCCAGTGTATTTCCTGTCATTTTGACCAAAAAAAAAAAAAAATTGACACTAAAACTGGGTCTTCTGTCCAGTGTCATTCCAGATATTACACATGAAAGAAAACTGCACAAAAAACAGAGACTCCTATTAAATTGCCTTCAACTGTCCTACACAGAAAAACTGCCTGTTGGTGGATTACACCTACATTCAATGTTTAATCTTTGTTAATACCTCTTGGGATTGCAGATACATTCCAAGCTATGCTATTCAGATGCAAGTTTTAAACAACTTGCCTTTGTTTTCTCACTGTGCATGTATTGGGAAATGAAAAATCTATCCAGAATCACAATGGAAAGCTTTGGGGCTTTTTTTTATTGCTCTTCAAGACATCAATCATCTTTTCCTTTCCAGCTAGTCACCAAATGTTGGCATACTTATGAGACTCTTACAAGGCACTGTACAGAAATTGGAACAAGACTTTAACATATTAAAGCAAAGTATTATGAGCCTCATTAGCTACTGAAGGACTAAGGAAATAAGATGATCCAAACCACAGCATTCCATGGGCTGTGTCACTGATTTGGCTCAACCCCTCTCTCCTGTCTCTCCCTCCCCACAGGCCCAAAGCAGAGACCCTGCTTCCCCCTGTGTCAGATACACTGACTGTGCCAATGCAGTGGCTGCTTCTACCTTATTGCTTGAGGACTTCACCATGAAACATGCCCTGGCACTACTGAGAGCCATGACTTCAGCTAGATGCAAGGCTTCCAGATCCCCTGCTTTGAACTGCTGGTTCTCACCTACCCTCACCTTACACGTGCAGTTAGAGACAGGTTTTTGCCCTATGGCTCTGCCACACAGGAGAATAATCTGAGGCTAATGCTTATCCCCTCTATTTTCAAGTAGTTTTTCTGTGTTCAGTTGAAGTTGTTGGATAAGATAGACAGCATCTCCTGCTGCACCAGAGTCCATTAGAACCAGATATGCATTTGAAAACAAACAGAAAAGGATGATTATTGACAAATGTGGCAATATGACAACAGAAAGTGAATGGTGCCAGCAATTTATGTGCACCCACTCCCGACATTGGGAATATTAGACTTCCAGCTTGAAATAATTACTTTCTCTTGGGGTTCAGGAAGAAGAAAGTGTTGTCTTTGGGATTTATCCTGCCTGTTACAAAGCAAGAAAGAAAATACATTATACGCAGCTAACATAAAGATTTTGAATTGTGCTGTCATATGCTGTGTGAACGAGAGATTTTACCTTACACTTCTCTCCACCTTAATTGGCTTTCTTAATGAACCACATTATTCCCTGTCACCTTTGTTTCCTCGTACTGTTGCTTCCCAGGCAAATGCTTTTGCAGTCTTCTGACTCTTGGGTAGATTGTTTTCTTGGTGCATAGCCATTGTCTGGCAAAGCAGTGGGTGTGCCTGGAGTGCAGGAAGAGTTGCTGGGGAAAGTTGCACTTGACATTTCAGTCTGATTCGTTACTTGATCTTGGCACAGTAAAGCTTCTACCTCTTCATCGTTTAGTGGAAAAACTCGAAGTTCCCACAGCCCGGACTGAAAGGAAGCAGAAGAGTAGGAGTGAGGGTGAAAAAGGAGTATAGAGGATAAAAAGGGATTTCAGCTGAGCCTGAACTGACTAACTGTGTGCAGAATCATGTGCTATCAAGTAACAAACGAGTGTCTTTCTTTACAGTGTTTGCAGGGCTCTTCAGATAAAGAATACAACACTGCCAGGCACCAAGATGTAAGCTGGCTGTGTAAGGGTTTGAAGTAATAATAGACCTACCCTTGAACAGGCAAGGAAACTCTTTTCCACAGTGCCAGACCATCAGGATGTCTGACCCCCTAATGACCAAGCCTGTCTTGAACCTTGGCCAACACCCCTGAAAAAAACCCCAGCCTGAACCCAGTCCTTCCATATTTGCCTCAAAAACATGTGCCATGTGTACTGAGCAATAAAACTTGTTGAAAGATCTGGGGTTAATTTACAAAGCACAGCAATGTAGTTCTAAACAGGAGTACTATGTTCAGTGCACATCAACTAGGCTGACAGCCTGAGATTCTGATCAGTGAGACAGGAGAGTATCTTCAGGTTTCTTTGTTGTCACTGCAGAACTGACCAGAGCTGGAAGCTATTGGAAGCTCACCCACCTTCTCTTCCTGGCTCTCCCTGCAGAGTGGTGCCATCCCTGAACAAACAGAGCTGTGGGCTTCCAAAGCTGGGTCAGGAGCAGGGTCAGCAGTGCAATGGTCTTTCTGCACCACGTCCTGGCTGTGTCGTCCATCAGCATTTTTGCTGTAAGATCTAGTGCAGAATTAGAAATGAGTTTTAAGAGCTACTCCCTGACCTTTCACATTGCCATGAGCAGTTCACATTTTCTTTTCAAAGTGTTCAGTTTCTCTATACATGGTACCTCCATTCTGCTTGCTTAAACCAAAAGAGCAGAGGAAAACTGGTGTGGTTCTGGACCTTGTTGGCTGGAGCAAAGCAAAGCACTATGTGGAGGAACTAAATGGGTAAAATGGGTGGACAGGCACACTCTAGCTGCCGACAGCTATTAGTGTATCTTGCTCCACATGCTCACCAGAACTGTGATTTTGGACAGCAGAAATCAGTGAGCCACAGGTTGTTCCGCTCAGGAGAGTGGCCTCACCCACAGGAGCCCGTGGGGTCCAAGCTGCACTGTCAGCACTGTGCTAAGTGCAACTCAAGAGACAAGTCCTTGGGCTCCCCCTTACCACTTCTGCTCTGGACTTAAGTACAAGGCAATCAAAAATGTAGTATAAGATTAAAAATTTTGACCTCACTTTTAATAGAATAGATCAATAATAGTGGCATGCATCTGAAATGCCAGGTGGAATCCTGACCTTGCTCATGCCAATGAGCAGTTTACTTCTGAATTCAAGCAGCACTAAGATTTTACCAAGGAGTTCAGTCTCAAAATTAAGGTACATACAGAACTTTTTGTTTTTCAGTACACTTTCTAAAGTCGGGAGGTTTTATGTTCAAAATTGCTTAAAATAAAATTCCTCAATATGGCTTAGCTCTATTTTTATCCTGCATTAAAAAAACCCTATTTATTCCAAGTGTCATGGTTCACTTTCAGACAAGAGTAGACACAAGTATATGATAAACACCATAAAAAGTTATTCCAACATTTATAGACTGCTTTTTGCCCTGGCAGATTGTGAAGTCATTTATGAGTATCATTTTCCCAGGGCCAAACTGCAGATGTAGCTTTACAATGTTTGCTCTGATATATACCACTTTTTGCAAGACTTTTAATGGTTATATTTAAATCTGATGAGTTCTGCACCAGATGGCAAGCCTGTGAGAATGAACCATTCACACAATGACTTTCTAAGTGTAAGCCCCTGGCACAGCCCAGGACCCTTCAGTAACACATCTCTGAACACCATGGAGTTTCATCTGAGTCAGGTGAGTGAAGAAGGACTTATGATGCACTGGGTGGCTAAAGTCATAGTAACTGGGAGTGGCACAGTCTAGCAGAGCTCTGTGTTCAGAGAGGGAGGAAGATATTTGTTTAGTAATGCCAGGTCACTAATATATCCAATTTCTGTAAGTATGCGTGCCTCAGCACTGCTTTCCCCTACCACCCACAAAGTTCAACGTACCTGGTACTGTCCCTGATGAGTTAATTAATGAATGCCCTCATTTTCAAACTCCTGTGACAGCATTTCTGCCACTCTGTACCACAACCCACGCCAGGTTCAATAGGAAGGCTCTCATCAAAGCCAATACACCTGCCTGCTGTTCCTCCTGGGCCAGTGGCTCTGCTCCCACAGCGACCACCTCGCACGCTCTCGCTCCTCGTACTTGCTGTGGCGCCAGGAAAAGGCTTTGTCTGACAGGTCTTCTACCTGTAAGGAGACACAGGAGAGCTGTCAGTGTCAGCATCCCTGAAAACAACACCAGCCAGTATTATCCACAATTCTGCAAAGGTCTATTCAACAAACAAGGAGAGGCAACACAATGCATGCTTTCACTACAAAGGCACATTTACATGTGTTCACTTTATGAGAGCTCTGGTGCATGGGATGCTGTCATTTTAGCTTTATTTCTTTACAGGTTTGTGGTTGATCTGAATGGATATAGAAGTTATACCCGCTCCATGCAACTAACACATTTTTCTCTGTGGTGAGAGGCAGAAAATTTAGAGGATGAGTATTCATTGGCAAATCAAGGCAATACTAAAAGTACAAAATAAAGACATGCAAAAAAAACAACAGTTTCCAGAGACTGCTTTAGAAGGAGGCTGGGAGGCAGCAGGATTTGGCAAGTGCTCTTTAAGCACTAAGAAATAGGTTTGAGATCACCAAGGACTTTGATAACTCCAAGGAGGAGAACTCGGTGAACCTGAGGTGCCACATTCCTGCTGTGAAACCAAGCAGAAAATGGCTTCTGCTTTGAAGATACTATTTCTTACCCCATGGTTTGCATGAGCTTAAACCAGCCCTAATGCAAGTACTTTACCTGCTCTAGCAAAACAAGAGGCAGATTTTTAGGTAAAAGATTGCACCCCATCTTTCACTGTGGAAGTACCATCCGTGTTTCTCTGATGGCAACACACCAGGAAGTTTGTTCCTTAGCCAGGGCTGGATGGGGAGCACTTTGCTGCTCCTCCCCCTCACTCCCCTGGTGGCAGGGGGAGTTCTTGGCTGAATCCCTCCAGTACAGCTCACTGTTGTTTCAAAGTGCTCCAAACCATTAAAAGTTCACCTAAAAAGCCGAGGTTGGCAGGAGCATTTGAGTGCTGCAGCCATGGATTTTATGCCAGCTAGTCCCAACTCAAAAGCTGAGAAATTCTTGGAAAGAACAATTCCTGGTCATAGGAGCTTTGAAGCTGCACTGCCAGATCAGTCCTAGGCAAGAATTATACTAATAATTGGGGGTGGGGGTAATGGAAAATAAACTGCCTTTTTTTTTTTTTTTCTAAAGCAAAATCCTCAGTGGCGTTGTACAAGTAACAGCATTTATCTTCCAACTGAGCCTATAAAATAGAGAACCAAATGCACAGTGCTCCCTGCAGTGCCAAGTAGTGCCATAGAGACCCTGGCGGTGCTCCACTTGGTGTGCTTCTGTGGAAGCCATCCCCATATCAAGTCTCTCAGCACTGAGGTGGTTCACATCCATTAGGGGTACAATGACAAAGTATCACAACCAATCAGTGTGATCCCAAAAGCTTCATTTTGATTGGAATCAGACACAGGACCCATGTGCAGAACTGTGGCTGCCCAGGTCCTCCTGAGCCCAGCACTGGACAGGAAACTTCAGACAAACAGGCTGCTTAGTTTGCTCATCTCATCACTCCTTGCTGAAGGCTCCTTCATTGCTTTTATTTATTTATGTTAAACACAAACCACTTTGTTAGCTGCTGGTTTCCTTTCATGCGAGTGAACTTAATGGGCTTCCTCCTCTCTCTGAAATTCACCAGCTCTGTCACTTGGAGAGCATCCAAACAGGGCTACATCTCAGTTCACATTCTGTCTTTCCAAGGTCAATGATGTATAGCTTGAAAGTGAGAATTTTAGAATTACAAAAGTGTTATTCCCTTGGGGGAAATTCAGGGGTTTTCTGTGCTTAGATTTCCTTTGAAGTGGAAACAAAAGATAATTTAGAAAGAAAAACTTCGGAATTTGAAAATACTTTTCTTAGCACATTGCCAAAACTTTTCATGCTGGGAAGAGATTTCATTTTTAACAAGTTTCCATTCAAAATCAAAGTCTGTGTTCCTCTCCAAGTGAAGAGTTTTGGAAAATACAGAAATAAGCCTTGTTTGTTTTCCATAGCTGGTGATAGTATATTTAACCACTTGTTTATTTAAAAAGAGTTCTACCCTATTCTTTTGAACAGTACATTTTCTTATTTAAATATTATTATCTGTTCTATGGATAAAAATTTCATGACATCAGAATAAAAGGTCTCTACTCGGTTCACTACAGCCTCTGTCACTCCCCAGCATTTCCTCCAACAGCTTTAGATTAATTTAAAGGTCTGTAACAGGAGAGATTTGGTGGTTTTTCCTCACCAAGGTTAGTTTGAAAAAGGACAAAAGAAGTGTCATTCCTCAGTGGATGGATCTGGCAGGGATGTTGAGAGAAAAGGCTGTGGGGAAGGCCTGTTTGTGAGGCATGTCTAATGATTTCACTCACAGAAAACTAAGCTTTGGATTCCCCCATGACACTGCAACACACTGTGCATGAATGTTGAATAGCACCAGGAATATTTCTGAAAGGTTCTCAAAACAACAAAATCTGTGTTTCACTCTTTGGCTCCACAGGAAACTCTGAGTCATAGGCCATGAAAACACTTATGCAAAACTAATTGCACAAGGAATTACCCCAAAGAACTTGTCATTACTAAAACAACTACAAAATAAACTTGAAGGTTACAACTGAGATCTTCCAGAAGCTTTAACCTGGACAAAACAAATTAAAACCAAAACAAAACAGGAAAACCTGTGCCACACCCTCCCATGCCTTAAAGCAATAACACTGCAAATTCATACATGCAAACCAGGAAACTCAAATGTTCTATTTCCAGAAAGTATTTTTAGAGCAAGTAATAGAGCAGACATAGATAGTAGATTAACTTTTGCATTGCCAGTTGTGTTCTTATAAGGCAAAATTTCCAGAAACAAAAAAGCACCCATAAAAGGTAAGCTTTTTGTACTCAAAGGCACAATGGATAGGCCTGACTCCCAGAAAGTGCTGAGTTCCCATCCTTGGAAGTGTGGCTCACATGGAGCATGACAAACTGGGGACCCCACATTTATTTGTAACTTAGTAAATGTGGGATGCAGGTCTATTGCATGGATATGGGTTGTTACATAAATGAAGAAGACAAAGATTAAGACAACAAAGACAGTGAAGATGAAGAAGAAAGAAGTTATCCAGTGTCAAAAATCCCTGATTACTTCTTGACACAAGGACAACTCTGAAGTTTCAAAGTTAGCTGTGGAGAAGACAGAGAAGTAAAGAAACTATTACGTAGTACCACAAAAAACTTTAAATCATTTCCAACACCACCACAGGCTACTAGGCAGTGAAATAGAGAAAAAGAGCATTTTATATAAAAGCAGAAAGTATATTTTGCCTTCCCTTGTGTTATGTGAATGACCTACTGAAGCTTGCTTTGACTTTAGCACATGGAGGAATTTCAAGAGTGTCAGAGCATGAGTGCAGGTAATGGTGCTGTTTCCTAATGTCTTTTTACAAGCAAATGTAACTCAGCTCAAAGCTAGAGGCAGTTGAAGAATTATGATCTATCACCTTTTCTCAGTACTCTGAAAAGCATCCAAACTAATTAACAAGATCCCAAAAGAAAGGGGGGAATTGGCAAAGGATGATTTACACAAACAAGATCATTAGCATTTTTCTCTGTCTGGCATCTCTCCCCCTCATTCCACCCAGTGGCTGACAGATGATACAGAAGCAGTGGGCCACAGCAGGAGGCAAAGCTGCTGCATTGTTAACTCAAGCTATTTCCTGGCCAGAGGATGAATCATACAGGATTGAGAGTCATGCCAAACACAAATGTACTGGGTGGGCTACTAATTCAGACATTAGCCCATGAGCTTCAGAGAGAAACCTTGAAGTCCCTGCAGCAAAATACACTAAAAGCACAAGACAAGTCATCTTTATGGGATCTGAAATCTAAACAAGAAATCCACTGATTCCATGCAAACTCCTTGAAGCCCTGAATGCAAATCACTGTTGCAATTCTTCACTCTCCCTAGACACCAGGATGAAGACAGCAATGAACAGTAGATGCTCAAGGGACAGAGTGCCCTTGCTGCCTTTATTAGTTATTCTCCAAATGGTTTAATTAAATATCCTTGCAGGAGTGTTCTCCTGTGTGTGGAATTTGACCTTCTTGGTACAAAGGAAGGACAGGCATGCTTCCTGCTAGCTGGGAGGGTACTAACCCAGAAGTCAGTGGGTCATAAATTTGACCTTCACAGAACTTCTCAATTGCTCATTGGAAAAGGCAGGAACAGAGTAAGCTTTTCTCTTCCTTCTAGCCCAAGAGTATGCTGCCAGAAAAGTGCAACTACACCAGGTAAGGAGTTGAGACCACGATGTTCTCCTAAAGGAAAGGTTATGGAGCAGGTAGCTCCAGATCTATGAACCTCTGAGGAAGTTGTGGTTTTGTGGAGACTGTATTTTCTACCTCAGGAGAGTGACATAATGATTTGTTTACTGAGTTTAATGTAACCTTCTGCACTGCTACCTAAATGCCATCTTTTTCTACTGCTATAGCAACTAAACCTCTGCTGTAGAGATTGTCTCAAATAGCAGCTCAAGAACAGATATTATGGATAAAGGCAGGAATACAAGTCCTACAGTTACAATTGGTGACAGTGGCAGAGACTGGAGGGAGATTAAAGATGTCCAAAGGACAGCAAAATTGACAGATTTCGGGAAAAGAAGCCACAGAAATATTGGAAGGACAGAAAATCAGCCTAGAGACCAGACTTGCTGGCACATTCACCCCGAGGTTAGGAAATGCCTCAAACCCCTGATTAGGGGAGAAAGGGACCTCCAGCTGCAAAGTCCATGGACATTCCCTGAAGAAAAAGGTAGATTCTTATGTCTGGAGGAAGCAAAAACCAGCCCATGATTTGCAAACTTAGCTCAACAGGCAGGCAGGAAATGCTGAAGGTTATGTTGTTCCTGACAATGCAGAAAAGTTTGCTTCCAACAGGAGGATTACAGGAAAAAAATACTGAAAAGAAAACTGAAGAAACTTACTGGACCCAAAGGCAAGATTCCTGATTACCAAAGAGCAACATGCCATGGGAAGTGGCCGTGGAAGGAGAGGGTGAGAGGGAGGGACAGCACTGGTGGCCCCAGGAGACAGTCACACTGGAACACGCAGCATTACAGGGCTCAGGAGCAGGGTGGCACAGCCTGAGCCAAGGGACCCTGCAGGAGCACTGACTGTGCAGCAGCAAGGGGCACCAGAGCCAGACAAACAATGAACAAGGAATATTAATGGTATACCCCCATTTCCATCTCCCACTGTAGGGACAAGACACATTTTCACAATTTGATACTTAATACTTTATTTTTGACACTTGAAACTTACTGGGATTTGTATGAAGTTGGTGTTTTCGGAAAGAATATACCAATTACCCCAATTATATATTGTATCTACTTTAAATAAACCTAGTGGTTTACTTAAAACAAAGCCTACCTCTTCTTCATCTGTTTGAGATTTTTCCAAAGGTTGAAGTTCAACAACTCTCCAGCTAGAAATAAGACAAGAAAAATCAAATTAAGTTTAAGGTGCTGATAACAGACGGCTGAAATTTAAATTTTCCTTTCCCAACAAGGTATCTAACCTTTCCTTTTTCTAACACAGTCTTTAAGATATCCAATACAGTTTTAATAATATTTTTCAACTTAAAAGACAATAAAAATCAAATACATATTATGGATTTAAAGTACAGAACAAGTACATTTAGCACTTCAGGCAATGTGCTACTAAGAATGTGCTTACTGAATTAAGCAGAGGAGATCAATTACCCTGGTTTTGAAATCGAAAGATGTTCTCTTTCTAAAACAAAGGAGAAAAAGCTCTCTAGAATAATGGATTGTAGACCTACACTGTATGGAAAAAATAAGCTTATTCTACTGTATCAGAATGGCTAAATTAAAAAAAAAAAAAAAACCAACTAAATCCATTTCTGTTAATTCACAGAAAATAGTTTATTACTTTCTTATGAGCACACAAAAAAAGACAGCAATCTCCAAAAAACTGTTCAAGAGCTTGTCAGCCTTAAGGTATACCTTAAGGTATATTAAAGCCATAACTACAATTAAGATGATATATTCCACTTCTATTTTTAGCCAGTCTGTGCATCTGCCACATCCCTGTGCATATCAGACTATTTCTCCTGTGCTATCAGCTGTCCAGTCTTCCCACAACTTTGGTCACATGAACTGAAATGCACAGATAACAACCCAAGTGCATGAAAAGATCATCTTTAATACTATAACATTTTGTAACTCCATGTAAATTATATTCTTAGTTAATGTTCTCATGTTCATTTTCATGTCTTTGCAATTCAAGAGGCTGTGAACAAACCTTGGAGTAAGGATTTCTTTGTACTGCAGTTTCTCCAGCTTTGAGGGTGCCACCAGTGACATGGGAATAACAATGTTGTCTATATCATAGGAGCTCTCACTTCTCAACCTCCTCCTGGAGTTATGCTGAATAATAAAATCAACACAAGAGGATCACCTCGAGTCATAGGAAACACATTTTAGCAGAGAAACATTAGAATTTTACAAGGAGAAAGCCTGAACTTTAATGGAAACAGACTATTCTAAAGTGCTCATTCATGTGTTCTTTGATGATGATTGACTTCAAGGAATAAAGGAGTGTGTATTGTGTAAACTGTGTGGGATGCACACTTAAACTCAATTCTGCATTAAAACATGACAACTCACAGAGCACCAGTATATCACTAGGCTTAGCAAAACCATGGGACCTGAATCTGAATATTGTTGTGAATTTTCCATTAATTTCAGTAAAATAGTATGTTTCTGTACACTGAGCTGGAGTTCTGCTGCTCCTCAGTAAATTATATAACAGGGACTTTGCCTGTATTTCTGCACAAAGGCTTGTAAATAGGGAAACTGAGAGTTAACAAATTTTATTACTCTATTTGCCCCATGAGGCCATTTTATATAGCTGCACCAAGAAAAAATGGTCATAAGTGCCCTACTGTAAAACTGGGAACATAAATCATGGAGTATTTAATGAAATTCGGGGGAAAAAAAGGCACAATGCCAATAAATCAAATTTACACTCCAGTTATATGATCTACAAAATTCTTTTATAAACAAGTACACATACTCGATCTGGAATACATTAGTAAATGTAATCCACTTAATTCACTGTAAAAATGCTCTGCACTGTCACATGACACTAAATCAGATGTAAAAGGCTTTCGACTATTAATTTGCACAACTCTCTGCTGATATCTCAGTTGAGACAGTGCCACATTTTTGGTTTACCTGTGATGAAGTGCTGTGAGTGGGCCGAGACATGGCACTGACACTGCTTGTGGGAGTAAAACTGCTGTGGGACTCAGGCTCTGCATGTTGGAAGGAGAATGTCTCAAAACGAGCGCTACTTTCGCCTGTCATAAAAAACAGCAATAAATAAGACATACTGCCTGTTGGCTATTAGACTGCAGAAATTTTTCCACACAGTAATAGTAAAGTCATTTCTAGAAGGCCACAGTGAGCCACTTACAATTTACTGGATACTAAAAAAAGCCATCTAAATAAACATTTGCTATTCATCCTGTCATTGTTGTTCCACGAAACTCATCCCTCTTTTTCTAGGAAGGATTTCTTCTCATGGAAACAGCTTCATATGGGCAAATCCTGACTTTTTTTTCAGGAGCTGTCATAGACTACACACACAGCAAATACAATCTGATTTAGATTCCCCCTGTTCCCCAGCAGCAGCTGGGATGCATCTCACAAGTTCTCCCTGGCTGTTTCTTCCTTAATAAATGATAAAACTGGCAGCAAGGGCAACAGACAAAATCAATTTATATCTCCAAACCAATAGCAGTTTCTTCTGATTTGCTGCTGCAGACAAATTGTAATTCCTATTTACTCCCATTCAGTCCCAGTATAAGCAGCATTTAGAGGGATTCATAATTTAACCACCTGTTCTGCTTTCCTTCTACCTAATTTCCAGTAAGAAAGGATAACTCAGACTTAACATAACAATGACCAAAAAGAATTAGTATATTTAAACATGGAAAAAGAGGTAAGACTGATCCTAAAGACTGTATTACACAGGCTGGGTCAAGGTAATGAACTACCATCTCCCAGGCAGCTCTGCAGCTCCCTGGCACACAGCTTTTATTTCTGGCCTTGTTCATTAGGCTGACCTTCCTCATGGATAATTTCTCCTAGACAGAGCCCAAATTAGGAATAAATATGTAGTACAACACCCATAGCACTAATAAGCTAGAACTTGTGCTCCTACTCATGAATGCACCACAGAACAGTTTCCTGGCTCTGGGATGATCCTCATGATATAAGACTGCTTTTTTGGTTCCATTTATAAAAAAACTAAATACTACTGTCAGAAGACTAATGGAAACTTGAAAAGGTTTACAGCAAGATGTTTTCTCTCTTATTAGTGCTCCCAAGTAACTCCAGCTGTTGATCTCAGTGCCCATGACTACACTTTGGGAAACTAAGAAACACTTTGTCAGTATCCACCTCTTGGCGACCAGGCAAGTGGAGCAGGTGGCATGGGAAACAGGATCACTGGTGGTGAAAGGGGAGAGGGCACAGCACCCCCTTGGACACAGGCACAGAGGGCAAGAGAAGGCTGTACAGCAAAGTCAGGGCTGTACTGCACCAGGGGAAGGATTCAAAGGACAGTCCTCACCTAAATCCAAAGCAGTTTTCAGTGTGCCCCCACACAGCTTTTATTCTCTCCTAAGACTTCCTAATTGATTGGGTGGTCTTGCTTTTTGGGGTTGTGGATTGTGGGTTTTGAGGTTTGTTTTAATCCTAGATCATAATTTTTTATTAATTCATCTCTGCAGTAGTTCCTGTATCTCCATCTCTAATGAAAGATTATAGTTTTGCCTGGATATGCACCACCAGTTAATTTTTCCACAATGTTAACTGATCATTTATACCTTTTCATTCTTTCCTAAGGGAAATTTTAAACAAATATGCTCTTGCTCAGTGACTTACTTTCTTCAAATGTCTTGTGAAGAATTTTGCCAAAGGTTTTCCAAAAGTTACATAAATGAATCTGTAACAGAATCTGTTAGGCTTTACATTCTAAGAGCCTGGAAAGGTAAGTTGCCATTTATCTTAACAGTGGTATGCTAAATTTTGTATCCTTACAATTATCACATTATTCTATAGAACTTTTAGGGCACTTCCTATTAACTTACCAAGTGCTGAAGGAGAGATTCAGTGGCTTAAAATAGAACAGTAACAAGGGTAAAAACACAGTAAGAACTGGCTATCCACAAGTCCTCTTAGAAGTCTGGAAGGGATCCAGAGCCACCAATGACAGTACACAACAAATGAAATATAGTGGACAAAGATGCCAGGAATAGTAAATGTTTCATTGGGCACATGATGTAACAGATAACTTTGCAAAGTTTATTTCATTGACTACTATTAAAAAAACCCTTTTGTACTAAGAATGACACCCAGTATTACAAGAACACAGCTGAACTGCTGAGCAGTTTCCTTTAAGAGTACTCCAAAAATAAAATATAGCAGCTTGTCTCATTCTGTACGTACACTTAAGAAGAAAGATGATTACTATGCTTTAAAATAGCAAATTATTTTCATGGTGTTCTAAGTCTGTTTCTTTATAAGTTTCATAACAGTATCCTTTTTGGAGACAACTCTTAATTCTCAGAGCTCAGTGATATTCATACAGTACATATTTTAAAAGATGTAGTAGTCTCTCGCAATGCTATTTTTCTCTTACCTACTGCTGTCTCACTTAGATGTCTTTTCTTTCTTCCTTCTGACAGCTGGTCAGGTGTTCCCAACACCAACTGAGATTTGGAATTGGACAAACAGCCACCGCTCCATTGTTTGACAGAAACATGTGGATTGTAGTCTGTAACAGAAAAAACACTTATCAAGTTGAGAAATTACTTTTCATCGGTACAATTTACAGGAAATCTCAACTGCTGAACTATTTATAATAGCCACAAACTTCTGATAGGAATCCAAATAATAACAGGACTGCAGTCAGGCACCTGGTCCAAACTGCCCCCACTTGTGGTATCCTCCTACAGCTCTGGTGGGATCATCTCAGTGCAATTAGGGAGAACTTGACACTGTGGTCTGAGAAGAAATTCCTCTTCCACCTAAAGCTATATTCAGTTACCTTCCCTGATAACCTGCTTTGTGACAAGTTTATAAACTGAACCTCTTCATGGCAGAAAATACTGATGAATGCAAAAGCTAAAACATTTTGCTTTACATACCATTGTCAGCAGATACTTTAAAGTCCCCTCCCAAAGATGAGGTATCAGCAGGTTCTCCTTTGATGTCATCCTTCCTTAATAATGTTTCAAAGTATATGTGAAGAGGAATATCTAATAAAAAAAACAGAAATCCAAAGGAATAGCATCTGTATTAGAAAGATGGCAACCCCTGAGCCAATGAATTATAAATCATCACTAGAGCATTGATTCACCCGTCACATTCAACATCATCTGTGAGCACTATTGCCAAGGACTGAAACAGACTGGAAGGTACTGAGTGAGAATAAGACTGGGGTCTTTCCTCTTGACCAGCTCCTGCACAAAACCCAGCAGAGCAGAGAGCACACAGTGCACTTCTGTAATGTGAAGAGGCTTTGGTTCAGCCTTTTGGGTAGAAGTCATTAATCTTTTGGAATTTGTTATTGCTGGGAGCCTATAGGTATTTTCAAGGTACATTCCCTCTCTGTCTCCCTGCAAAAGTCTACAGCAGGGCAATGTAATTCATTTTTTGACTGGAGTTCTGATAGAGAATTAGCCTACCAAACATTTCAAGTGGTAAGGAATCTACCCACTGCTGTAAGGCAGGGAGGCTTAAAAAAAATACCTCTCTGAGAAGCCTTTCTGGAAAAAAAATACAAGAATTAAGGGAAATTAAATTGAAAAAAGTGTAAATGTAATAAGTAGGCTTGACAGCTAGCACATTCAGAATGAGAAGACGACTGTGGGCAGGCCCAAGGGTAGGCATTAAACTACATTCAGGACATGCCAGGACAAGAACTTTCAGCATATTTTGCTAAATAAAAAGAACTATTTTATTTTCAATTTGATATGGATCTAACTTGATTGCTTTATCTCAACACCCAAGGTTTTTGCTGTGTTTCCTACTCTACTTCCAAGTTAAACAAAGAAGGTCTGAAAGGTGTACTAGTCACAACATTTAAGTAAAGAGACAACCAAAACATTTCTCCAATTTTATTGGTCTTTAGGCTTTGTTTTTTGTGGTTTATTTTTGTGTTTTTGTTTGTTTGCTGTTGGTTTTGTTTGTTTTGTTTTTTAACCTGGGAAACCACCTGGGTGACCCAGATTTTTTCCATCCTGTATCTTCCTTGAAAGGGCAGGAGTGCTTGTTTCAATCAATCCACAGCCTAGGTGCAGAAATACCTGAAACCCAAACTTCCTAGATACAAACTACAATTTTCCATTTATCAAGGTGCAAGTTGAAGGAGGTGCTGTTATGTTAAAGCAATACTGCAACCACTGACACATATTTAGTCAAGATCCTTGGTAAATTGAAAATGGTGAAAGAAAGTCTTAGACATAGGGACAATTATGCTTCCAGAAAAGAGTACACTAGTGAGCCAGTCCCACTGCACTATTTACTAGATTGTCTGCAAATTATGGTTATCCTTTAAAGCAAACCACATGAAAAACCAAGGTGAGAGAACATATGAGTCTTGAACGTGAATCCTGCACAAAAAAAACTCCCAGAGTTCCAAAATGAAACAATGTATTTTTAACATACAGAGAAAATGAATGCAAAATCCTTTTCTTTTACTCTGCTGACAATTTTTATATATAAAGATGTGGGCACAGCACAAGCAGTATTTTAAGAGAAGTTATTACTCTGGAAGGGGATAACCAAGAAAGCTGCAAAGAAAACATGAAATGGAAGTAGGCTACAACTTGGAAAATTTCTACCATACATTTATTCACAATAATTCTTTCACATGAAAGAAAATGTCAAATAGACTTGTCTTCATGAGGAGGTAGAGACAGCAAAAGTGCACAAAGCAAAGCATGAATCTAGCCTCCCTCAAATGTGAGGACTGCATTTGAACAGGAGATAGCAGGTCTAGTACTTCTTCCCTGTCTCAACTATTATTAGCAAGGCTCCTGGAAAAGAGAACAAATATTCCTTAAGAAATATTTTCTTGATACTGGAATGAAGCTAAAAACATTTTTTCCTCCTCCATCCTGGCAAAGTGTCCAACAGTAGCCACAGCACAGTCCAAAGTTTTTGAGGTTTTTTATGATGACAAAACTTATTTTGACAAAACAAAAGCTTAATGTTCTTGCTACACACCCCAGTCTCCTTAAACAGGGAGGTAAGAATGTAGACAAGGGGCACAGACCTTCCTTGAACAGATGCCTAAACCCCTGGGGTCCAGCTGTGCTGCCAGAGTCACAGGGGAAGTGATAGCATGTGTAAAAGAAGAAAGAGTTAGGTGGTGTTTTTCTGTCCACAACAGAGTTCCGCTGACTGGGATGTTTGCTGTTGCACTCTTGGAGTGAGTGTTCCATTTCTCCTATCTGCTCCTACAATAATCTCTTTAACCTATGCATGGGATGCAAACTGCCAGAGCTGAGGCTTTCTCTGGATTCCATGTCCACACTTGGGTCTTCTCTACAGGCCAGTGACAAATTCTCCAAAACCAAGCCTTAAGTTAATTCCTGACTTCCTAATACAAGGCTGCAGTGTCTACACTGTCATTCTGGGAAGACAGTGGGTTTGATTAAAGATTCAAACAGTTCCATGGAAGTCTCAGCCTCATCTCTACAATTATTTTGTGGCAAAGAAGCTCCCCCCACAAAGAACAACATAATTCCTATACTGGTCAGTAAAAATAGGTTTTTCCTAAAACAAAAAAAATCCCACAAAAATTCAATCCCATCTGCTGGTAACAGCATTTAGGCTGTTATTTTGAAGTCCCAAGTACTGCCAAGTTCCACCTGCACTAATTTCAGGGCTGAGTCACAGACAACATTCTCTACATTACTGTCCAAAAAGACTAAAAGATCAGATGACAAGAAACCATAAAACTTCAAAGGTAATAAAAAAAGCTGACTATCACAAAAAGAATTAGAAAACCTAAATAAAGTTTTTTAGACCTAGTCCAAAGGGCCTGAACAGAAAGAAAGTCGCTTATGAAAACAATATAACCATGGTATTGTGTTGGCAAAAGCACCATCGCTAAAGGACTGACCCTGACTCAATTAGACACACCATGAAACACCCAAGCACACCTTTTCTCATCACCAGTCTTTCAAGGCTGTAAGCACATTGCTGGTTTGAGAAACCTAGGTGTGTTTTTCAAAAGTCAGGATCAAGTAAAGATTTTCATTTAGTCTAAACTCATGTATTTTGACAATGTGAAGTTTTCTGTAGATAACTAAGTCCTAAAAATCATTGAAAAGACAAGTCAGTCCACAACCTGTACAGCTGCCACAAGCACAACCACTCTGTGAAGCCATGGCATTACTCACCTGAAGGGAATGATAAGACTGGATGGAAGGAAGAGTCCAGCTCTCGCACATAATCTAGGATTTTAGATTCTGTGCTATACTCACTGCTGCTGAAAGCAGAGGCTGGCACCACACATGGAAACTGAGTTTTATATGGAAAGGAGGCATCTCTAGATGGAAAAGTCTGCAAGAATACACAGAAACAAAGATTAACTTTTCCTTTCCTCATGTCCTTCAAATTAGAGCAGAAGAGGAAAAAATACCCAAGAAATCAAAAACTCAGTGAGTGACACACTAATATGTGAATGGGGAGAATATTCCAACAATCTCCAGATATGACTTACCTTCACTTATTATGGACAACAGTGCACAATACAAAGAATACAAACTGCTCATTCAATTAGGACCAGGAAACAGCTGTCAAAGCTTTCAGATAAAATGTAACTCTTTCCAATCATTCTTTTGATCTATCCAATGACAAACAAACACCCCTTAAAATTTGATTCTAGAGTAACAGGCATGATATAAATGCACAAACAAACCTAACACCAGACTAAATAGAGGGTCTCATTCATTGATTCCCTTAGTAAGATTCTTAGCATCAGTATCTTTAGGCACCTTGAGCACACACATTCTAGTGCAAGAAACTATACTGAACATTTTGAGCATACTGTGTACTTACACAAACCAAAAAGGCAAAGTCTTTACATTGTCATAATTTAAACATCAGATAAGCAACAGAAAGAAGACATACAGCAATAAACACAGAGAGGGATGCATTAAGAACTGATTAACAGGTAATAAAAGGAATTAGTAGAAAGAGTAAAGGTGCAAAGAAAGATTCATTTAGCTGCTTGGCTGCAAAGCTTGTTTATATATGGAAGGAAAAATGATGGATGGATAGAACTAGTAGATGTGAGGTAGCAGGACTGAGGCAAAAGGCAGGGTGAAAATGGGCAGAAACAAGCAGCAGAGTTCAGGCCACAGACTGAGCTCTGAAAGACAGAAGGAAAGAATTATGATACAAGACAGCAGCAAATAGTGGTCTGTGCTTCAGAATGTGCTACAAAAAGCACTTCAGGGAAATAATGTGGCATAAGCTACTTTCTTACTGGATACTTGTGGTAGTTACCCCAAAGATACTGACATTTTTAGAGGCTTCTGTAGGTTTCTGATATTTTGCCAAATGCTGCAGATCCTGCAAATGGGAATGGAGAGAAAGGGACACTGGAGTACTTAGGGGGAATCACCCCTAAGCCTATCACTGCACCAACAATCACATTTATCAACCCATGGGAAACAGTTCCAGTGTAAAAAACTGTAAGAATGAATGACATTTTCTTAGGACTTTTTATGGAAACTTGTAGCATCAAAGCTGAGACTCAAAGAACATAACTTGCATTTTCTGTACTTCTGCTTTCTGAATCAAAGACAACTCTTTCTCCTGTCTGAAATATTCCAGGCTGCACTTCAGCACTGCCATTCATTAATTAGTGATGCAGGAATTATATCTACCACATAAAATTCCCTCCACTTAGTCAAAGCAGTCCTTTTGTCACATGGCATAAATATTCACAACCCACATTACCTCAGAAAATATTACATTAAGAAATTCCCCTTTCTTCTCAGTTACTGAGTTCTCTCTGCTGGTACTGTATCTCAGAAACTACTAAAATCAAATAATCACATTACGATGCCTGAGCAGAGAACACAGTGATGGAGAGGGGAGGTTCTCGTATTTAACTTTTTTTTGCCTTCAGGAAAACATTAGTAGTCCTAAATCCACCTTGATCTCCGTACACAGGTGTATGCAAAAGTGCTTTCAACTTAACTTGGAAAGAATTATTTCCTAGCCCAGGACTGCTTCAAATCAATGTTCTGTTATTTTCCTCTGACAGACATACGGGACTCTTCATCTGTTAAACCTTAAACATCCATGAAGTGTTGGCAGAACGGGGTCTCATGTTTGGAAACACTAGAGGGATAAATGCTAAAGTAAACAATGTTTCCCATTATATGGACCATTACACTAAAGCTTAAAGAGCTTTTAGGTACTTGCTCTACCTTAATGCATTAAGGACTTGCTTTTCAAAAATGTACAAAAGCATATTTCTTGTTGATATTTGGCTTTTAGAAATGAAGTAATTTACTAAATATCTACTCTTTAAGCTGCAACAGCATCACTTCTGCCTGTCCTTTTTTTTGTTAATAGAAGTGAATCACATTACAGTAGATAAGTCTTTCACTTATTGTTTAAAAAGAATTTCCCAAAAACTAATCAGTAAAATTACCTAGAAAGTATACAGATAAGACCGAAACCTTCTGACATCCAGACCTTTAGTCTTTCCTCACTTTTTCTTGCTTTAATTCACTTTACCCAAACACATCCAGATCATTAAAGCTGAGCCAGTTCAAAAACATGCATACACGGTCAAACAACCTCACAGTCAAAATCCATTTTGAAACTATATTAAAATCCATTTGCCAGTATCAGTAAATGGAGAATTCTTCTCTTCAACTTGCCTGTGGTGGGAATTACAAAACCTTATGCCTGAATTTGTGCCTTGAATGCTCTGGCATCAACACCTAAGTAATGAAACCTTCACTAAGCCAGTTTGTAATGCAAAAGAAAATACAAACTTCATAGAAGGAAGAGCAATGTTATTTAAATGCCTGTGAAGCTACTAGGGAAAAAAAAAAGCTAAGAAATTTGTCAGTGTCTGTGTTCCTAGCTACCAGATCTGGTTTAAGTTTCTGATGGAGTAGTCTTCCACTGGAAAATGCTGAATTAGTGAAATCATGATGTTTCTCAGAAATGCTGACTTAATAAACACTTGATAAAAAAAATTCAGAAGCCCATAGTACTGGAATTAAAACATTTTACTCAAGGAAAGTGATTCAACTTTTATTGAAATAAAATGGAAGAATTGTTTATTGGAAAACTAAACTCTCCCTGCTTCCAATTCCAAAACGAATACAGTCTACAAACCAACTGCCTTTTACAGCAGTCAATTATTGAAACTTTACACAGCAACAAAAAAATCCACCACAACTCAGCTGAAAACAAGCCCACATGTATATCCATTCACCATGGCACTGACATAGGAACATCATGGCACACACCTTTTAGGAGACAGGTCCCTACAGCAAACCTGAGCACCATGCCAACCCTTCAGAAAGCAAGAGAGATTACAAAACTCTTATCAATCTTCCCCTTTCCCCTTGCTATACCACATCTTGTACATCTTCTGAAACATTTTTCTTCATTACTGAAATACAAAACTTCATGCTTCCTGAGCTCAAGCAGATATGAAGGATAATATTACATAAAATTCATTGTATTAGAGAAAATTCACTGTATTTAAGAGGAAGAGAAGAGTGTGCAAGCTTTAAATATTCAACTAAAATAGCAGCTCTGGTCTAAACTTATGAAACTTATGAAATGGAATAGTGTCAACCAACAGACTCTAATTCTCTAGAGAATTACGAATTTTGAAGTTGGATTTTCCCCCCTTAGTACTGTTTTACTGGGTTACAGAAAACAGAGAGTAATTAATTTTGATACTCAAAACAATTCTTGTGCTTGCTTGTGACAGACTGATGCATTAGACAAAGTCGAATTGGCACATGGCTCTGTTCTTGAAGGGTCAGAAGGCTGAACTCTACTGGCCATCCCATCCTTCTGCAGAGAAAAAAAAGCGTGAGTCTGCGAAACATGACATGACTGAAGGGAAAAATGTTTTGTGCTCCCAGTTAAAAAACTGTGAAGTGAATTCTCATTTTGTGGTTTCAGCTACTGATCACTAAAACTCCTACCAGTTCTGGAAACATGCCCAAGTGTAACAGTACAAAGAGCCACAGTTCAATTATGCCACTGTGTCTGAATCCAGGAAGGTAATTAAATTAATTCAAATACACTCTGCTGAATACCTGTCACATCTGCTTCTGATTACTCTTATTAAGCCCAAAAAGGCAAGGAAAAATGTATTTATTCTCTCTACAAACACACTCTCAGGAGTTTTCAGCAATATCAAAGAAGAGCTATCTCACTCTATTAAAAACTGTTCTTCAGTAAATGGGTAGCAGAGATTTAACTATGGGCCTCAAGAGAACCTCTGTGTGGGTGGCTGACAACTCACCTCTGAACACCAAACACATCACACACTGACTCAACACCCTGCTCTGAGCAGAGCTGTGTCCCTCTGGCAGAACACACAGCTCCATGAAACTTCTACTGTTTCACAGTGGAAATGTGCAGGTCTCAAGTGCAGAGTGCTTTTGGGCAACACACAATACACAGACACTGAAAAGTTAATCTGAAAGCCCCCAAGAGCTTCTTTCGTATTAACAGGTAGTGGGAGAGAGGGTGGGAAAAGCATCTAAGGTATCCCAGCGTGGGAAGGTGCAAAACAGATGGTGCTGACACACACACACATCCCTGCCACATGTCAGACCCTCCCTTCCAGATGAAGTTTTTTAGAAGTCAAATGGATGTGCTTTCCCATGCGTGTCAGGTACAGGGATGCAAGCTGCCCCAGGATGTAAAATTCATCTGCCTTGGCCCCTCTAAAGTTGCCAATAAAGATAAACTGGCAGATCCTATGGCAGAGACCAATTTTTGTCCAGGAAGAGGAGAGTTTCGTAAAATACTAATGAAAACTTACTCAGCATCCAACTTGTCACAAATTCAGATTTTTTGAATCGTACAAGGAGTGATAGCTTCTGCTGTTCCCAGATATCACCCACCTCTCCTAAGCATATATGGAGTATAGTTTCTTTAATCCTGCAATGGGACTTTCACCTGCTCTGTAGAAGTGCATGCTGTTTCTACATTCTGAAACAAAGATGTTTTGTTCAACTAGAAAATCAATTGAAAAATCAAGGTTAGTGCTCAATCTTTGACCAGTTAAACCAAAAGAAAGAAAGATATATTAATCTACAGGGATATCTTTCTTCTCAAAAACATCAGAAATTAAGAGGAGGTGTGATCAGTAAAACACTACAGAAATGTCAGCACACTAGAGGTGCAAGACTGTGGAAAGCATGAAGGTTTTTCATTCTGACAAAAAAAAAAAAAAAAAAAAAAAAAAAAAAGAGAATTCACAGGCTTACTGGCTTGCCACAAACCTCAGAGGATGGATCTAGTTCTACTGGCAGTATCACAGACTTGCAAAGATAGAGGTGTTTGTCCCCTTCCTTTCTGCCTTCATGCCTCCCTCCCTCAGAGACAGAAGTCTTGTCACACATTCAGAATAGCTGAATGTGTATGAAAAACTTTTTTTGCCACTCAGTTTTCATTGTTTTTTAACTAACAGAAGGACTTCTTTTTTAAGGCCTTCTCCAGAGTTAAAGCAACAATTTAATTAACTATTATTTTCACCTACAAAACTTGGTAACCAAGGGATTAAGGGATTCTCCTTCCCAGACCACAAGACTGACATATTTACAGAGGTACCACACCACTTGCACTGAACCAGTTTGCAGAAGACTTGGCAACAAAACAACATTTTTTCAGAAGTCAGCAATGCCAGGAAACTATGCTGAAGCAGGTGGTGGAGCTAGTGTCTAGGGATACCAAGGAAGAGGATGACAACCAGTAGACTCCACTCAATGCAACTTCTTTCCTCCCAAGAAAGACCCCTGGCAAATAGCATTGATATTTAGCAAGTAAGATAAAGGCTATGCATGCTGGATATAATACAAATGATATGTATATATAGTGTATTATATATAAATAAAAATATATACACACTCTTTCCAAAAACCTGAAAATGAGCAAGAGTTGGGGAAGGACCCACATGTATTTATCAAGTGGCATCAACAAAAAATACCACTGGCACTAGACATGGACTGGGAATGCTCCTGAACACAGAAATCATAGAACCAGCATGAGATTTAAATCAAAATAAGAAACTCATACCCTACAATTTAAATACTTCTCTCCTGTCTGCCTTGGAGCCTCCTGGAGAAGCACTCACTTTTTTTTTTTTTTTTTTACTGTTTTTTCAAACCACTAAATGAAAGCAGATATTCTTCTGCTCTTACTTAAATCCAACTGAGACTGCAGAGAATAAAATGTGGCAATATGCAACTGCAAGAGTTGGCAACATTATACCAACTGTTTGCCTGTGGTATCCAAAATGTAAGCTTTTGCACCACAATTCCCAACTTTCAGGATGCTGGCACCTTTGTAAATTTGAATTCTGTTTTCTCCACATGCCTCAGTCCTCACTACCAACTCTTCCTCCAGCAGGTGGAATGCAATTACAATGAGAATTTTCAGATTAAAACACCCCACCATGCTCTACAACTCTGCAAAGAAACACAGGGACAAAATTGATAGTACTTCAATCTCACTGCTCTATTGTCTCTTACCTTTATTTAGAGCTATATAAAGGTTTTATAGATTAAAAGTCTACATAGCATCAATGACAACTCTTGGCAAAACATGACTTGAAAAAAGTGGAATTAATATCCTTTGTTAGGATATTAAATGAGAAACTAACAAAATATATTGGCAAAACAAAATCCTTGTTATTAAAAAATCCTGCGGGAAGTCACACAGATAAAATAGCAAAAAAGAAAACATCAGGACCTGTCAGCTAAGCAAACCTCTCTGAGAGTTTCTGACTAGTACAACACTTGTCTGCTTTCAAAACTTTTAGTATGTCACAGATAATTTAGTTCCTTCAGGTGCAGACAAAAAAATAGCAGGCGACAGAGTTACAATTTTCCTTACTACAGGAAAAGAACAAGGCATTAGACTGGAGAATGCGGGGTGAGGGAGGAAGGCAGTTATGAATGCAACAACCACTGAGAAATTATTCAATAGATGTTTGTGTCTTACAGTCCTGACACTGATCTGCTACTTACAGACTTCCTGGGTTTAAATGTTTACATACTTTTGGCCTTCTTTCTTAGCATTAAAACTACATGGCACACATTTTATAGGAGACAATGGCCCAGAGGTTTTGACTTGCCAGCTGCAACAATGCAGACAAGGGGCAGATCCAACATTTTCAACACATGACTCTCAGACTTCCAACTCCCACCTGCCAACTTTGTCTCCTACTAGAACACACCTGCAGATTACTCCTTCGTGCTGTTCTGCATGCAAGTTTTATCATTCATTCATTCATTGAAAGGTTCTTGCTGAAGAAATGCACCACTACAGTCATGTCCTCTAGACTGAAGCACAGACTGCAATCCCAGGGTTTGCTGTGCATGACTCACAATCAAGAAATGGCCTAAGCTCTCACAAAGCTGTTTAGATAAAGAAGAAAGATACAAAACAGATCCCAGGGCCAAATGATGACTCAGGGATCATCTTGTGGTACTTAGCCATTTTGAATTAGGGAAACAGTGGATTTGGCCCCAAAGGCCTCAAGTTCCTGAGGATATTGGATGGTGGCAGATAAACCAAACACTCTGCATCCTGTTTTATTTATCTGAGGTCTATCTTGCCAGTCTGGAAGGTCTTCTAGAGTTTCACAGATTTCTCTATTTTCTTTTAGATACTACCCTGTGTAAGCATCATTTTAACTAGCACAGCAGGGGAAGGTGTAGTCCTTTTCAGAAAAGAAACAGCAGAGGACAATATGGGGCATCTCTCCACAGGCAACAGAGGCTTCTAGGTCATACACACTCATTGTAAATGTATGTGGCACGGCAGTAGATAAGAGAAAAAATGTGGCTGCCTTCCCAGTGCCCTTGTGAGCTAACAGATGGCATAGCAATTCACAGTTTCATACTTTACTTTTCCTAACATGGATGTTAGGGGGGTGAGGGGGGAGAATGAGCTTCCCAAATGAATCTGAAGAGATGTGAGGGATGACACTCTGAATGTCATTCAGATGCACAAATGGTTCAACCAGTCATTGCAATGAAAACCCAATTGCAAATTCCTCAAAGCTATCCCAGCATTTCTTAATGTCCCACACATACAGGTCTGCATTTTACTGTGATTCTCTGGTCATAATTCTTTAGTAACCATCTTGCTCAAATTACTCTGCAGAGCAACATTTCCCTCAGCACTGCCAGGTACTGCTCACTGGCTGTTCAAACCAGGCACCACCAGGAGCTGCAACATTCAGGAGATTCAGTTTGCTCCTTTGATTTTGGCAAACTGGAATTTGCCAAATAATTCCACATCTGCTGCAAGACCCCCAGCTTGTTTTCAGGCCAGTGACATTAAAGAAATGGGGGTCCTCACAGATTGTGGTACCAGGGGTTATATAAATATGTTAAATTTGAGGAAATATGGGAGAGGCACTTGCTAGAGAAGGCACACTAATGTTACATTAAAAATCCAACTATTTTCCTATATGCTAAGAAGTTACTCATTTTTTCTGTGAAAGACCAGAGGAAATTTGCTGGATTACTCTGGGGAATATAAATGCATTTTCAGAGAAAAATAGATATCAATCCCAGAAACCATTCCCCATTTTGCATCCTTACCCTTAAACATCTGCCTGATTTGGAAGCCAGCCTGGGCTGATGGCCAGTGCTCTTTCATTACAGGATGAGCAATCTCATCAACAGCTGGGTAACCAAGTGTAGCAAGTGCAGGACTAAGAAAGTGACAGGGTCTGTTAGAGTAAGATTTGTTGAATGAAATGATACACTGCTGATGATTCTTAATTTAAAACATTGATACTGACTTAGGTTTGATTGTCAGAATGTGCTGGAAATGTCCAGTCTAATTTTATCACTTACTTCCTTAGCAGAATCCCTGATCCTCTGTTTTCAACCAACACTGTGTGAGAGGCTTTGTTCCCTGTTTTACCTTAATTTTCAAAACTTAACTGAGTTTGGCACTTGCATGATGACTGAAGCCATAATTTGATTGCTGATGATTGCTGCCATAATTACTTATTTTCTCAAGGAACAAGAGCTACAGAATCTATCTGTAGCCCATGATGTAATTCTTCACATTGCCTCTTGGCTAACTTTCTCATAGAAAGGACATTCAAAAGCAGAGTCTAAACACAGAGTTTTGAGCTGAGAGCCGCAGTAAGCATTAATAGCATTCCCTACAGGACAGTGTTTTACCCCACTGTCTTTGGGACATCTCTGCACTTTTGGTACAGAGACACTCAGGCTGGGTTAATATAAGGCACCAGAGATGTCAAGAGTATGGAGCAGACACACAGCTGCACCAGCTCTGATACTCGAAGCCTTAACTAGTAACCTAAAAATGTACTTTTTGCTTGCAGTCTACAGCCAAAGGTTAATTATAAATCTGTCTTTGCAGCCTACAAGTCAAGGTAAACCATCAAGCATGCAGAGCAGCTAAGCTCTGTATCTGGCTGAAGGTAAAAATGTAAACTCTGCCTTGAACTGCTGTCAGGCTACAGACATGGAGTTTCTGATCAAAAGCCTTTACTGATATTCTCAGAACTTCACTAACTCTGGCCCACTTCTCAGAACACAGAGACATAGGCAGTGCTTGTAGAAATATGAAATACTTAAACCTGCAAGACAAGAGGCTTCCAGAAAGCCCTGCTATTTAAAAACTGCATCTGCAGTGAAAACCCTTCATGTTTACAACAAAGGAAGGGAAAGCCCTCGAGTCTCTTGCTAAAGAGCTCTCTCCACAGCTGCAAGAGCCACAAGAGCCACTGCTGTTGGAGCCACAGCACGAGGTGTCCAACCTCTGTGACAGGATTGCAGGGCAAACAGTAAGTCCAAGTCCACAACAGCCTCCCTGGTCAAAGCAGGGAAGATGAAAAGGCTAACTAGAAGGCAGAGCTCCCAGCCTCACTCACCATCCCCCTGGCCCAAACCTTCCAGGCAGGCTGCCAAGTCTTTAAGCCCCACTGCCAGGAAGCTGGGAACTCAAATGAAAAAGGAACTGTACAGTTTTTCAATAAAGTATCTTGCTAAAACTAGGACACCTCTGCCATTCTGCAGAGAATGCTGAATCAGCACAGAACATCCTTGCATGGGAAACTGCTCCCCAGACCACTGGCACACTTAGTAAATCCTAGACAGTTAGCTGAGGAGACATGGAGATTTCCCTCAATACTACACTGAAAAAGTAAAATCAAGCAATTAAAACCTCTTGGAATTAGCACTGCTCTGAAGAATGAGTTCATACTGTCTCTGCTCCCAAATTAGACTGTTTCTTTAAGCACCACAGCTAAACTCATTATATATTCTTACCAGCAATATGCTATTAATATCAGATGTGAGCAGATACACATTGTCTTGTTCAGGACAAGGCTTTTTTTCCATTTTAAACTATTAATCCTCTGTAACAGAAAATTCTAGGAGTTCTAAAGCACTCTTTAAGTGTCATGACAAAGGCAATATAACTAATGAGAAACAGCAAAAATGGAAACAAGATTAAGATATTGCAATTCAATTTCCTAGAAAATAATGTGCCACCAGCTGTGTAAGCTTTCCTGTTGCTAAAACAAATATTCTGAAAACAAGCAGGCAGATGCTTTACACTGTAGCCTGTCTCCTCAGCAGTCAGGCCTCCAAAAGAACTCTCAAGTTGTCTCTTAGATTGTACAAGAGCTTTAAAGACAGCCATTAAACACATTGATTTGATAAGCAGGACTCTGAGCTACCTTTAATTTTTATGTTCAACTCATTAACTGTGAGCTCCTGCAGACACATCCAGTACTGCCCCACACACACTCTGTGGTCCCTGAACGCAACAAATAAGCAGCACAATGTGCACCCTTCCTCTGGCACACCACACAAGACACATGCTGACTCCAGCAGCTGGACTCTTGGGTTTTCTCTCCCAAACAGAGAGGCAAGGGCCTACCTGCTGATTCCAGTGACAGGCACTGTGCATTCTGTAGAGTTTCCTCTTCTGGAAACGATGAAGTGGCCTTGTTCGGGCAGATGTGCTCACATTAGTCACAGAGACAGATCTGAGCCTTGTCCTGTCTCTTCTTCTTTTCTTGATGTGCTGATGGTCAAGCAGCCAGCTGCTTGAAGAGGACACCTCTCTATTGTCTGAAGCTCTGCAGTTTCATGAATAATGAGGAGAGGAAATACAAAACATCAGATATGTTCCACATGCACAGGCCAAGATTTCACACGCAGATTAGCATTAGCTATCTAATTCTAAGAGAATTTCATAAACACCATAAGGTTTTAGCATGCTGTTTCAGACAATTGTGCATATGTTCAGTTTGCTAGTTAATTACTTTCATGTCAGGTCAGGAAAGGCAACTTATCATTCTTCTTCACCTTTGTGTTCATGGAAACACACGTCAAAATGAAGCTAAGCCCTCAAGCATATATCCAGTTTTGTTTTTTGCAAATTCAAGAACACTCCAATATTTTTAACACATATGAGTTTCAAGTTACAATTAATATTTCCCTTCACACTGATGTTCCATTCAAGACAGCAGTCATGCTAACATAAAGGAGACCCAGAGCTCTGTCCTAATACTTCAAAGACTTTCTGGTTTTGCTCAAGAACTGAAACCTAAGTAAAGCTCTACAAGCCAGTGATCATTCAGCACAGTTGCAACTCACTGTGAAGCATTTCTATCAAAATTAGGAACTCTACAACTTCAAGTGCAGAGAGGCAAAATCAAGTGCAAAGATGTGGCCAAAAGCAGTAGAAGCCCCTGCATGTACGTGCAGAACAACCTCACACCGTTCTCACCAACCTAGAGCCTGCCTGGTGACCAGAACAGGCAACACCACCAGGTAAGAATTTAAAACACTCTCCCATCGGGGTGGGAATGACTCAATGGGAAGACTGAACTTGCCTGCTATAGGTATTCCTGATTTTATTTATATTTGATTTATATCAACATCTGCCTGTAAAGTTGAAGGCTTGCTGCAAAAAGCCCTGCAGTGTGCTTTTATTTTTACAATACTGAAGACCTTGATCACAGCTCTGGACTGTCTGAACAGTGCAACTACACAAGGTATTTTGGCCTTGGTTCATAACAGGTCATCTGTCTGCACAAATGATTATTTTGTCTTATGACAAGTCACAGTTTTATTAGTAAAGTTATGACACAATAGAACATGAAAATTAATTTATTACAAGGACACTTATAAATCTTTTTTGACAGGTGATATTCTTTCACCAGTACATTTTTGTTAAATGAAAAGGCTTGTAATGGAAGTGTGATTAAACACCATCCCATGCTGTGTTGGAGTGGTAACAAGGCTTTACAGGCTTGAATTTGAGCTGTTTTCCTGACACAGCAATATAATCCAATAAGCAACACAGACACATGAAAACAACATGCTAATTAACAGAGGGATTGTACAAAGCATTTAGAGGAACATACCAGCAAGTGCCAAGAAAAAGCCCAAAATACTGAGGCATGACATTCTTAATGTTAACACTGCTTTTTTAAGGCTTGAGAAAGAAATACAAGGTTTACAGTCCATGGAAAAGATTTCTTAAAATACTCTCTCTGAATTCTCAAAAACATTTTCTAAGTCAGATGGTCCCAAGCTCGACTTGTGGATTTCCACATACCTCTCCCTTAAATGAGTGACAACTTAGATAAATTAGAACAAAAAGCTCCTCAGCCTGGCTCTTTAACTTCTGTGATTTCTGCCTTTGTTCTGGTGGTCTGCCAAGGACCTTGGTAATTTCTCTGCAGTCTCTGACATCTGCTGTATTTACCCTCCTGTGCCTTGCAGCATTGCACCACTCCACTTTCAGATGAAGAGATCTCATCTTCATGGCCTGGAGCTCCAGTACTTGGCAGTGGGGTTTTCCTGCCACTTGTGTAAAAGGTTTCCCAATGAAGCTTTGAGTTACCCATCTGGTTTGATCTTAGTCTGAGTATTTTTCAAAATGTGATTCTACAGAAGAGCAAAATGAACCATGGCCAGATGTGAAAGTCATAAATTTGCTAGAATGCTCCTTTCAAAGTTCATAGGTTTGCCTTTTTTGCTCCTAACCTTACTTCAAGATGCAAGCCTGCACAGCAAGCCATCAGACAGGCAGTATTTGTCCTGAAGAAATAAATTTTTCCTTCCTCTCCCTTCATAAGAAAGTGGGTATCACTAGTTTAGGGAACTGCTTCTGTGAGCATGTACCTTCATGCAATGCTTAGGGCTAATCTTGGCACCTAGATTCAATTGAGCAAGGAAAAGCAACACAAAAAAAAAGAAGGCACTAATGTAATTAGGCCTTGACAGATGGCAATTCAAAGTTACCCACATTCAGTCAAGCAGGAACTGTCCAAGCACCTCCATTTCCTCTGCAAACAGCCCGTGTAACCAACTGTACTGCAACCCCACAATTACCAACCCCAGAGCTTCTCATGTTTAAACCTACTTTAAAATGGAAAATTGTGGTTTTCACATCAACAGCCTACAACTAACTTCAAGAACTTACTGAAGTGAAAATTGCTATCATCTGTTTTTCCTCCCTCTCAAAAACGAAAGAATCCCCTTATTTTCCACTTGATTTTGATTTCTGCTTTCTGAAATACTGAATACAGTCAGAATGAACTCTACAAAAAGCAGCTAAGAATTAACTGCAGCAAGTTAATTATTAAGTTAATTCAATTAATTGAACACACAGCTACTACAACAACAAAATATCACCAAAAACCTGAAACAAGAAACCTCAAGAAGTAGAAGGCAGTAAATTTCCCTGCAGGATTCTCATGATAACCACTCTATTTCATGCATCTTTAATGAACAGTATTTATTGGCAGGTCTTAAAACACTTCATAAGCAGAAAAAATTTAAATTAACTGTTTAACTCATGTTTAAGACAGCATCTAGAAAGCCCTAAAATCTCTCAGAGCCCCTTACAACACCTAACTTGCCAAACTCCACTTTAGAGCTATGGCACTGAGAAAATCTTCCAAGTCCGAACACTTTTCTTTGGACTTTTTTAGGTCATGAGCAGAAAACAACCAACCTTAGAGAGTGGTCCATGAGCAAACAATGTGTTATTCATGAAATGGAAAGACTAAATTTGGACTAATAAATAAGAAGAGAATTGGCCTGAAGTTACATCATTAGAGTCTCTCATCATGAAGTTAACTTCATACACTCCTAAAAACATTTTTAAAATCAAGAATTCTTCCTCACATGTCTCACGAAAAAGTCAGATTCAAGACACAGCCTAAATGACTCTCGTCTTCCACACACCCATCTCTATTAGCAACTCCTATATCAGAGCTATTTTTAGTCCACATCTGATAGGAACCTTCTGATTTTCTCCTACATCATCTATAAACAACTAATACACCAGGAGAAGGGATGTCACAAGGCAGGACCCCTTCATCCTTAAATTTAGGGCAGAATCACACAATCACTGTGGAACAGAAGGCAGCCAAAGAAGCTGCCCATCCAAGCTGCTCACTATAATCTCTTTGTGGGAGGCTCCAGCCTCTGCAGTAAAGCTGAAACAGACGGTGTGGCCAGCTCTTCTTGCAGCCAGGAGCCAGGGAATTACGCCCTGCACACTGCCATAAACACCCCAGCTCTAGTTGGAAACAGTTTCTTCATCCACCTGACCTCAATTAAGACTTGTGAATAACAGCATCCTCAAAAATCACATTACAAGTATCTCAGGAGAAATATCCAACACACCTAGACCTTTTGTAATTGTATTCAATTACCTTAATGTTGCTTTGAAACTAATACTTATTACAGCCTGTACTGTACTTAAAATCTTTGAATAAAAGAGAGAATTACCTAGCAGTATGGACTAGCACTCAGAAACATTTTTCTAAAATATTAATTTCAACCTACAGTCATTCTGGAAGGTATGTCCATCCAGAACTAAATACTTTGAATGGAAAATAGTATCTCCAAATTGTGGGTGGCAAAGGTAAATTTGGCCTTTTATTGAAGACGGATCTGCTTAAAATTAATGAAGTTACCACCCTGACACTGAACCCTGCTGAGACATGTGACATGGCTTATGTTCTACTAATCTACTAAGTTTGTCAGTTTTCCAGAAATAAAGCTGCACTTGTTGTGACAGAACACGAGTCTCAAACAATCACAATAAATGTGATCCTATATTCTTTCACTGCTTCACAGATTCATCTTCCAAGTACTTAAATAGTTATAGTGACTATACATTTATAATATCTTTAGGAACAACACAAAACCCTACTATTGTCAACCTTACAATCAAGACTTGACTTCTCTTGAAGCCTGCAGAAAGCAACTCTTTTTTCCTTATTTAATATTGTAATGATTATTAGTTCCATATAGATAACTTTACCAAAGTTATCCCACCTGAAGGAGATACCATTGACCAGCTGTCTGTGTCTACAGGTCTTGGAGGAAAGAGATGAAGAAGCTGGAGACAGATTGAGTGGAGCAATTAGGCTGCTGATTATTTCACTTAGTTGTGCACTCTGGAAAAAAAAAAAAAATTAAAATTAAAGGTAGTCAGACTTATCCAGACTCAACAACTCAAAGGTGATGGGTTCTTGTTTTCCTACTTAGGATTTCAGTCCAGTACATCATGAAATAATCATATTTAGTTTCTTCTTGTGAATAACTGTGAAAAATTGTGGTTTCCTTTCACAATTATTAAGTCCAATCCTACCAAAACCCAAATAAAACACCAACAAAACACCAACACAACCCTGAGCATTGTTTATACACTTGAAGTAGCACCCTGAATACATCGGTGACCTTAGTATTGTAACCAGAGGTCTTTAAAAGAAAAAAAGAAACCAGAACACTTTACAGCTGGTATTACAACAGCTGCAGCCAGAGCTGCTAACTGGCCATTTGACAAGCATTTCAACAGGGGAAAAAAAAGGTCAACTGTCTTTTCATTGTACATTTTGTTCACTCAAAGTATTTTTGTTCTTAAAAGAATTGTCTTCATTGCTTATTACAGTTTGACAAAGGTGTTTTTATAAAAGGAAGTGTAACGACTTGAGGACTATTGTAATGACAGACAGAATGGGTAAGATCTTTGGAATCCTCAAAAACAGCAACAAGAGACAACCACCCTGCCACCCAGTTCTCCTGCAAAAAAACCTGACTTTCAAAACTGACCCAAAACAAATGAAACAAATGTAGCCAATTTGTTAAGACTAAGAATTACTCCTTCCAAAGCAATGAATTGTGGACTGACTCCAACAACATTTCACAATGATTTTTTGTTTTAAATGTCAGACCTTAAAGGCTATTCTCACAATAAATGTAACTTGCTTAGAGGAAACTGTGTTCTGCACACTGAACAGAAATTTAATGTATCTGAAATGGCATACTCCTTTAAAAAAAAAAAAACAAACCAACCTTTTGCATTACTTTGCTGGATTTTCATTCAGAATTAAGAATGTTTAAAACATGAATTGCTAGAGTTTATCTAGTAAGTTCTCCTTACATTTTGATTTTACATTTACATTTATGCAGAAAGAGGAAGAAATTTTTTGTTGTTTTATTACAACTCACGTATTTTCTGTTAACATTTAGGTGATGTAGTCAGGTAAAAATTTCATATCAGAATGAAAAATTCAGGAATGGATATTAAAGCACAGAAATAGCAAGTCAATTATAAAAGAAATAGGCAAAGCAAATAAGATGCCAATAAAATAGTTAGCAGATTGATTTAAAAATCTCAGCAGAAGTCATTATGTAAGGAGTAGTATCTACTGAATATAAGAGCATTTAAAAATAGGCAGACTTCCAAAACACAAGGAAAAACATACCTGTAGCTATGAAAAGGACTTGAAAACAGTACTAATAAAAATTGCCATCCTCAGTTACTTTTATTCTACATGACTTTTCTTTTGCTTCACAAGCAAAATTCCTTATTTTTAACAAAGGAATACTTTAGCACCAGACTGAGGAATGCTGTGGGAATATCTGTGGATGTTCTTCAGGCTGCAGCACTGTTGCTCCTGACACTGAACAAGAAACTCAGACTTTCAGAGTTAAGAACAGAACTGGTAGTCAAGAAGGAAATCAAACCCCAAGGCTTTTAGTGGTGTAAAAGGGAAGAAATCCAATGTGTTGTGTGAGATGTGTTAGTCTACTTCCATGTAATTTTCAGATCATCAAAGTTCTTGCACCTCTTGTACCAAGTTTGTGGCTACTTGGGGACCAGGAAACAGACCACTATGCCCTGAATCATCAGAAGTCTTACTGAAAAGTGTGTTTAATTCTCCAAGCCACCGTTTAAAAGAGGGGCCATTCATCACATTCTGAAAATGCTCTTTGGGTTACCTTATGCAATTGCCAGCACTGAGCATAGAAATTTCCTGTTTCATTGCTTCCTCACTCCTGCCTATGGTGGATAAGATTTATCAACCAGAGGAAGCATTTTAATAACAGGAAAGTATGACTATCAAATAAGAAAAATTGGCACAGAGATTCAGAAATAGGCACTAGTAATTAATGCTGCTATACCCCTCTTAAAAAATGTGTGTATGACCAGGAATTTATGTAGAGCAGCAGAGCAACAAATTAATGCCCCACAGTGGCTTTGTTTTACACAAACTGCATAAATTCATTCTGTAAAACAAATTTCCAGTATCTCCTTTAGCAATGTAATCCTACCACATCCTTTATGTACTTTCAGGCAAAAGAAAACCTTGCTGGATTCTACACAGTATTTCCTGGAATCAACCATGGGAACAGCCATTTTGCATACTGCAAAGCAAAACTCTGCTCACAACTACATCTCCACTGTACCCAGTAAGCACCTGGAATTCCTCAGCTCCAAACCAGAGTCCCACAATGTTTGAAAAGGCAGATGAAATAATTGTATTCTGCTGAAGCCTTTTTTTTTTTTTTAATTTCAAGAGATATATATCTCTCTTGTCAGCTGTTCTCTTTCATCTCACATAAAGCGTTTCCTGAAACAACCTGTGGAAACTCTACACTGGCCTGACTACAAAGCAGGAGCAGGTTTGTGGATGGTTCTTAGAGGCTGTTATGTGTCCCTTGGAGGGAAACAATGTGGTAATACAGACACATCAGAAATAAAAGGTTAATTTGTAAACCTCCTGTACAGAGTAGTTGTTTAAATCCTTCAATTAATCACCACCCAATCCCAGGACTGTAAAATATCTTTCTTTTTGGGAGTCATCACCATGGAACCTCCCTGTTTCTGAAGTCAATCATTTGGCTTCACTGATGATGTGTGGATAGAAAAACTCCAAAACTTGTAAAAGTTATGAAGCTGGTATAATTTATTTCACTGCTGTTCCCGAAGGACATGCACACTCCTGAAAATTCCCAGGTTTACTTTATCCTCTAACTTGCTGCATATGCATAAAATACTAATGCATATGCATTAAACTGCCTTATCAATTTTATGAGTCTGTGCAGTTTTTCACTCATACTTGTAGTTTTAGTTGTAATGTGGTGTTTGCAACCTAGATTCAGTGTTTTTGTTTGTTTCAGCCTCAAGGTTGGTGGGGCCTTTCTTATCTCTCTTTAGTTTGGATGTTTGCACTCTTTTTTAAGTGATCTTGAATCTCTTTTGTTCTCTCTGCAGACCTTTTTGTGAGTACACAAGTTAAAAGACTAAACAAGCAGATTCTAGCTAAATCTAAAATTGATTTCTACTCCCAGATAAATTTCCAACCCCCTGTTTCAACTGGGTTTTGCTTTACTTTACCTGTTTTTCTATGTTTCGTAAAAGCAGAGTGGGACTGCTGGGTGACATTTCAAAGTCATGCTCCGGCAAAGAATCCTGGCTCTCAATGGCAGCTTGGGAATTCCCTGTGGCGTTTAATAAAGCTTCTTGCTCTGTCAATTGGATCTGCTTCTTCAAAATGTCTTTTGGAAATGGGAATTCTTCTAAGACCACCATCCCCTAGACAACAGCAATTGAACACAGTTGGTTGACAAGAGATTAAGCCTCCTAAATAATTTCTAAGGGGCAGTCAAACCTTGCACATTCCTCTTAAATCCTCCTGACGATTTTCGAGCACTTAGCTAGATTTTTAAATACACTTCACAGCTAAAAAATGGAAATAATAGGCATTAAAAAAAACCCCAAACTGCATCAATTATGCTACTCCTTGTAACAGCAATCACTCCAGTGTTATACCACTGCTTAAACATCTGTGCCAAAATTCAAATCAGAAATTCATACCTATTAGAATATTATATGATAATTTGCCTGCTGATTTAAGAGGAGGTTTTTCTCTAAAAAATGATTACCCTTTGATTTGAACTTGGTTTTAGTCTTTGCAGTCAATAAACTCTGCTGGAGACATTTTTGAGTGCTCTATTTCTCTTATTCCTATCAATGTTCTATGCAAAACATCAAGGCTGTTATTTTTATGTAGCAGAAATTATTCAATTCCAAACAAAAGCTTTTTAAAATTTAATAATTGATTTTTTTAAGGTGAGCATTTTTAGTGTTTCATAATTAAAAGTAACTATCCTAAATATTCTAGCACTGTCACTATTTTTCAAGGCCATTTCCACAAATGTGGTCTCAGATGTGGTGTACCACCTAAAGCACCACCTAGTAAGATAAATATAACTTTATGTGTTAAGGAAATAACAGTTTCATAAATTGAACTAGATAAATAATAGCCCTATTGTGTTTTCCACACGACAGATCAGAAAAATCTCTAGTCTAGAAAAGTCTCTAGCATAATCCTAGGTAATGTATCAGTTGGTTTAAAAACAAAATGTTAAACAAAATAAAAGCAAAAATAACCTTGTGACAGTCAAACCCAGTCCTCAAATAGTTCCTTGGTTTGTTATTATCTTGAGCAAATAAATTTAATACCAGAAACAGCTATTAAACCTCTCCAGGCTTTTTTCAAAGAGAAAGAGAAAAACTTATTTGCTTTTAAAGTACTAACAGCAACTGAAATATCAAGCAGATATTAAAAGAATGGGATCATTATAATTCTGCCTCAAATTTGTCTTTCTAATGAGAATATTCCACTCAATCAAAGCACAAGGAAGCCTGCTATAATGTGAACACAAGGAAGCCATACTGCTATTTCTTTAACCAAGACAGACTTCACCTAGGTTGTGGCTGTGGAAAACTAAGGATCCTGTAGTTTCAGCAAGACCTTTACTACTGCCCCAGCCTCAAAACATAAAAACAAGTCTCAAAGAGACTTCAAAGAGGAGACTAGAAGAAAAAGTGAAATTGTCTTGCTCTCACTGTGCCTAACTTATTCCATTGTTTGAATTATAAATTCAAAGCTGAGAATAAAGATGTTCTCTAAAAATAAACCAAGGTGCTTGAAAACTTGGTTTAATGCCTAAAAAGGGCACAGAGATTCTGAATGTCCATCAAGTCAGTGCTGGATTTTCCACACAGATCATCACCTGCACTTTTTCATTTACAGCAGATGGACACAGATCCAGACCAGCAGCATGCTATGGGCAGTACATTCAAGGAAATTCAAGTAGAGAACTAATTTTTGGGTGCCATAACAGGAAGACAAACTACTTCAACAGCTTTAAACTTCTTTAGAACTTAGAATCTTTAGGTCTTTTTAGTAAAAGGATTGCAGGTCATGACCACAGAGAGTCTAAAACCAAAATTATGAGGTCAGAGGAACGGGAAGACACACATTAAAAGTGTTGAAAAGAGGGACATACACACACACATGCTTCCACTGGAATTTTATTTTTTGAAGTTTTAGAAACTTGTTTACCAAGCATGGAAAGAAGAAAGAAGAGAAGGAAGAGGGAAATTGACAGAGTGTATGGAACGGAACAGATGGAATAGGCAGAGACAAAAGAGCAAGAGTAAAGAGTTAGAAGACTAATACAGGCTATATTACAAGAAATGGCTTACAATCAGTAGGTTTTGGCAATGATTGCCTTCTTCCCCAAATGGAGTTGTTTTGTTTTGCAGATATAGATTTGTTTTTTAATGAAAGGACTCTCAAAGATCCAGAGGTGCTACTTCTGTGTCTGCAGAGATGGAGAAGACACACTGCAGAAGGCCTGGAAACAGCCCACGAGTTACTCATGTCCCTTCCTATTGCATTGTGCTGCTCAAGGAGTGGCCTTTTGCTTGAAATTATTGCTCCCTGGCTATGAATCACTTTTTTTTTTCCAGTCAAAGATCATGAAAAACACTCTGAAACCATTAAACAGCATACAAATTCTAATGATATTGTGTAATTCCTTTGCAGCCACTAAATGAAAACAAAGAGCTCTTCTGTCAGCCCACATGTCCTTCTGTAGCTGCTGCACTGGGGTACTATAAACATGTGCACAAAAAAAATCCCATCTGAAGAAAATAGGTGCCTGCTTCACTATGGGACACAGTGCCAAACACTAAATACCACAGCTGGTAAAATGGGCATGGGAGTTTCAGAAAGGAATGTCACTAAAAATCTCCACCAGGAAGATGTCTTGGCTCCAAACTAACATACCACCTACAGAAAAAGCATGACTAAAATGATGTTTTTCCTCTTATTCCTCTGATATTTATTTCTCAATCTTCTGTAGCTCATCTGACCTACAGCATCACAAAGGCTGACAGCTTTTGGGTGTAAGAGTGTGCAGGTATCTGGTATTTAGGACAACACTAAACAATGGGCATTCTCACTCTTCACCAAAATATAAAATTTTCTTACACAGACTCTTAAACAAAGGCTCTTCATTTCTTTGTAAAGAAAAACCTGACTGGGGACAAGCTGGATATGAAAGGAAGGGCTCTGAAGGCAAAAAGGAGAAGCTGGAATAATTCTTTATTTGTTCAGAGGAAAATGCTCTCTGAGGTGATTTTCCTCTCCTTTTAAACTCCCTCTAAGTCTCATATTCCGCCACATAAACTCTGAAGCATCTTCTTGCTCCTCTCAGTTGTGCTTATCTGACCCCAACACACACCAGAGAACCTACATGAGGGTCACCGATGGAGAATCAAAGAGCCCTGCTCTAAACCCCTCTCTATCACACCACCTCACACAGGTTTGGCTTCTATGTCAGAATGACCTGAGGAACACATTAAACTGATAGCTAGATTACTAAGGGTTTAGGAATGTCACTTTCCCACTGACTAGGCAGCTCAATTTACAAAAACTAGTACATGAATTACACACACTGGAATTTTAGTAATTATTAATCCTTGACCTGTTCAAAGTGCTGTACAAACATTAACCATCTAATCCTCAGAATAAACATGCACTGCAAGTAACAAAAATCCCACCCTGAAAGCCCACAGCAAAAACAAGTAACTGACCATCCCACCTGAGAAGGCAATCTCACCTCTCCTGCAGAGGGAAAAACCAGTAATAAATACAGCACTGTGTGCTGGGCCCCTGAAAGCCACTAACAAAATCACTATACAGTTACAAAGGTAAGAGTTCCCAAATCACAGTCCTATACTGGTGCCATATTTTAGCTCCTGATGTCTTTCCCATTAAGCTCTGCAGGTGGTAGCCTGCACAGACACAAGAAGTGTAGGGCAAAAAAAAAAAAAAAAGAACAGCAACAAGGAACCAAATACATAAATATTACAAGAAACACTGTCAAAAGATGACTTGAAAAGCCCATTTTCGAGCTTACAGACAATACCTTGGTGGCACGTATTTGCCTGTGAAGGTCAGTTAGTTGTTGGATTTTGTATTCTAGTTCTGAAATCTGGGCTTGAAGCCATGTCCAACGGCTGCCAATTCTAGCTCTGTCTGCAAGCCACTTCCATTCAGAAGTATAGCTGCTGTGAAGACAAAATGCTGGTTAGTCCAAAAATAAAGATAACCACATTTGCACAAGAACATTTTTGACAGCTGTTCTGCCTCATGTTGCAAGCATCTCAGTTGCTTTCAGAAGATATCTGATTATACCCATCCAGTTTCACATCAGCTTATTTCTGTAGCAACAGAACTTGCCCAAACCAGTACAGTCTATGCTCACTGGCTATTCCCACACTAAGCTAGTTTTTTGTTCTGGATTATAAAACTCAGAGCTGGATAAACTACCAAACTATATCAGTTAAGGCTGATTACAGATGTGTAAAGAATTCCAGTAACTCCACCAGCAAGAATCCAAACTCTTACACCATACTTCCTCCCACAAGCTTTCACAAATATTGTTTGCTAACGACTGGAATCTAATAAAACATCATGCAGCAATGACCAGCTATATATCAGGTCACTGCCCAAACAAAAACCAGCTAAGTAGTTTAAATTTCTTTTATTCAAGTTTTTTATAAATATCTGTGTCAGTTTAGTTTAGTCAGATCACTCTTACTACTGTTTAAAATAGATGATTTTTGGAATACAAAAAAATATGCCTCCTGGTACTTGACATTGTGAACACCTTAATTTTATTATGCTAAATTCATCACTGGTATCAGCAAACATTACTCAACTTCCATATTAAACAAATGAATGAGGAAACCATACCATGCAACAAACAATCTTAATATTCAATAAGTCTAAGCAACACAGACAAGACAACGCAGAGTTTTAGTATGTAACTTCCACTACTATCCTACAATTAACTGAGTTCATTTATTTACAGAAAGCAACTTCCCTACTGAAGCTGTCAAGTAGTTTGCCACAGCTGACTTAAAAAACTGTAAAGACAAAAATCAAACTTGTAGAAAAGAAGTGCTTTTCCTCAAGTTATTGGGATATTGGCTGGATCTAGATCCTTGATGACACTGTAACTTTTGCACATGCAGAATGCATCATCTGCTGCTCCCCAGGCAATGAAGAGCACTGAAGTATCACAAAAGAGACAAGAAATAGCAGATGCCAAATGAACTGGCATAGGAACATAATACAGGTGTAATTGTTTCATGCAGAATTTTGTGTCAAGTATCTCAACAACAAAGGAAGATAACACAGCAGAAGATGCTATGTTATGGCATGAGTAGGAAATCATCAAATTTGAGAATCCTAACATTTTCAAGGCTAATATTATAAAACATAACTCAAAATTTCAGAGCCTTCAGTCAAGTTTAGCTATTATAAAGAGTAAGGATAGACACAGTCTCTGGTAGGTCACCTCTAAAATACATAATCTTCTCCCTTTTTAACATAAATTATCCTCCCACGTAATTTATCACCAGTTTAAACTCTCTCGTACACAGAAAAAAAATGAACATATGAAATTACGGTGATTGAAGCATCCTATTTAAATACAAACTACAAGGAAGAAATCTGGATTACTATCAAAAAGAAACTCAAAGAACTCTGTAAATATATATGGTAAAAAATTACTTGCATTTTACATATTCTACTAGTAATTTTCTCCTAGAAAAAAAGGCATATGAAGTCATCTTGTGAAAATCTATTTTTCTGGCCTCTTTTTATTCCTCTTTATCTTCCCATTATTGCCAGCAAAGAGGAAAAAGTCCCAATTAGTTATGCTTTAACCAGGTCTTCCTGACAAGAACTTCTCTGGGATTGACAGCTTTTGCATGTTTGTGCTCCTGAAAACCATAAAATACACTTTGCTGGGAAAGGGAGGCAATCTGAATTCCAAGTTTTTAATTAAATGTGCTCACACAAGCATGGTGGCTGGAATAGTTAAGACTTGTCTCAGGACCCTGGTCTGGCAAAAAGCTACTCCTAAGAAAGAGCTGCTTAATGAGTCTATAAAAATCCCTTAGTTAATAATTTTAACCAAAAAAAGTTAAAGAGGAATAAAGAAGATAAGGGAGAAAAACCCAAGTGGAGTAATGAGGTGTTGCATTTCTGCTCCTTTCAAAAAAGGCAACTGAGGAAATGAACAAAGAAATCCCACATTGTAAAAAGAAAATCGAGGTGGAAAGAAATAATTCACACCAACAGATTTCCCTCCCAAACTAGATCCAACAGTGAGGTGGAAAAAGGTGAGCTACTCTCAGAGTGAGGAGGAGAGGGAAGGAAGTGAGAAGAAAAGGCGTCCTGTACAGAGCTGGGAAACAAGAAGCAGAATGGAAAGGGCCAGAACTGGCCTTACGTCACCTACACTGCATGAAATCAGTGCGGCATCAGGGAACCCACAGCAAATATCAAACCACAGCTGACAGCAGAAGGAATGTTCAATGTTGTAACCTCTGTATGTTACTGTCTTACACATAAACAAGAATCTTCTGCAAAGTTACATCACAAGATATTTTTCAAAAATGGTTGCATTTCTTTTTCCACTTAGACACAGTATTTAATCTTGAATTAATTGCATTCACTGGTAAACATATTAAGTAGATTTTTGCTTCATTCCAAAACACTATGCAAGTATTTCTTAAGGCTTTAAATTCTATTAGATAATTTAAATAACAGCATTTAATTACACTGTGTAACAAAGTCCTTGGGCCCCACTCTAAGGAAAGGTTTCCACCAAACTAAGCACAAACATTTTATGCTCAGGCCAAAGGAAGCAATTTTAGTTTCCCTGTCTCTCCAGGCTGCCCCATCCCCAGTGCTTGCTCAAAGACATGGACAGCTACAAGGTGACATGGATTAGAGAGCTGCTCCTGGTTAATTTTAATTTTAGGGGCAGCATGACTGAAGCAGGTTTAAGTTTAGATCTCTTCCCCAGTTTTGATGCATTGCACAGAGGGTAAGAGACACAAGCATTGCTGAACTCTGTTCCCATCCCTGTCACTCCTACTTGTTTGATCTTACAATATTTTTAACCATCTTTTCCTCTAAGCCTATTTCTCTACAAATCTTTTAGTAAAGCTTGCAACTCCTAAGGAAGATAGAATTACTATGAGCTATCCTCACACTCCTTTGTGTTCGCACACAAAGTAGTACGGTCACTCAAGTGACAAATGATAACCTGCAACAAAAAAAAAATCCAAACCAACCCTGAAACAACCCCCAAACCTGGGTAAATCTCTTCCTGCTCAACAGTAAAGCTTAACATTCACTCAGTAAAGGAAGTTGTTTCAAGGTGGTTTCAGAGAATGCATTAACTCTGCAAACCCAGAGAAGAAAAAAAAAAACAAAAAAAAAAACACCAAAAAACCAAGCACAGTTACAAAAATAACCAGGCCTGTCACTGGAGGAGGAAGACAGAAGCAGGTGCTAAAGTAGAAGCTCCTGCTCTTGTTTTCTGTTGGGAATGAGACAAGAAAAAAGATGTTTCTGTCTGTCCCACTTCCTGTGTGCTCCCTTTGCAAAGTATCTTTACTTGGTTTCCGTGCTTTTGACTCTAAGATCATACATCCTCAACAGGAATTCTAAAATCTTTCTTCTGCTAGCAACTCAGGATAAACCATGTTACACTATCTCATGTAAAGTTTCTCATGTTCAGTACTGTAGTACAGTGGAATATTACATTTGTATATAAACTTACTGCTCTTGCAAAGACTCTAAATCTGCAGGTGACCTCCTACATTCATCCAGGACTATCAGAGTTGGAAGAGAACACAGCAATACTGATTTTGTATCAATAAAACATCTCATTTAAATTGCCCTAAGAAAACATGCTGGAATTGCATCAGGGGCAACTTGTTTCCATGCAAAATATCTGCCTGCATTTCTGTTTTTGTTGGACTGCAAGTCGATCCTGCACAACTTAGAAGGAAAGAAAAGAAATGCAGCAGAATAAACATGGCACAACGAGCATAAGACAAATGCAAACAAAGTATGGTCAAAAATACAGCTGGAAGCAGACATTGAGGCTTCCCAAAGTATGGGAAAGAGTTCAGCTGGGGATCATCAGCAACAGCAGAGGCAGTATAAGTATTTCATGCTACTTGTTTCTGCTGAGACTGAAGAGGCAAGCAAAGAGCACTAAGAAATGCTATTACAGTTGGTGCTGCTGGAACTGAAGGAGGTTTCAGCCATGACCTAAGGACAGAATGCACACATGAACTCCTTAGCACTCTCACCTTCCCTCAAAGAGAAGCACTGAGAACAAACCATGTTTTTACATAACCAAATCAACATTGCAGAATGCAACAGGACTCTCAGAAGTATTTCCAGTGCCTCCATTGGGTTTCAGGTGAGATTTATGTTTTCCCAATAGCTAAGATCAGCTTGTCCCAAAAAACAAATGCAAGCAACTTAGCTGAGAAAAAAGGGAGCAGTTAACCAAGATGAAATTGCTGTGCTACACACACTGCTGGTTGGGGTTTGTGCGTGGGTTTGGGGTTTTTTTGGTTACACGAGACAAGAAGAGGTGGAATTTAAACCTGAGAGGCATATTTTATTTTTATAAGCAAACAATAAGCTTGAAAACTGCTCATAATGATGGAGAAACACAGTGGTGTTTAAAATGCACAAAACACACAGAACCTGGGATTGACAGTAAGTATCCAGGAAGCTTGGTTCAAGCAGGTATGATAAGCACAGGAAAGAGTATTTTAGAGTGTGCAGCCCTGTGACCATGGCAAGCTTCTCCACAAGTAATCTCATATGCTGAAAATTAAAGCAAACTAAAGCCTTCCACCCTTGTAACTCCCAGTGAGAAGAAGTACCATGCCCTGCCATGACAGGTCTGCAGGGACAACGACAGGATGCTTCCTGCTAAACAGGAAAGGAGCATGCTTGCAAAAGACCCACATCAAAACTCAAAAAACCGTGTCACAACCCATAACACTTTTCAAAAAGGCTTTAAAGACACCAACATTTTCAAGTAACAATACTCTTAAATGCATACAAACCAGAGAGCAAGGCACTCACATGATGTGGGTGGGGAAAACCCCTCAAATTACAAAATTCTTCATTAAACATAAGAAGGGCAGTTGTTCCTGACATCCCCTCCTAACATTTCCGC